TCTCAATTTTAATTCGAAGCTTTTTTTCAGAAACCAAACACATGGTAGTTTCAGCTTCCGGTGGTTCGCTTCGTTTTGCATTCCATTATCAAAAGGTTCAGGCTTTGGGATTTTTTCTACCCCTTCACGAGCAGAGAACCTGCTTCCGGTCCCAAGGCATAATTAAAGAGAAAAGCCACCCGTTGATTTCACTTCACTTGTTAACCTGGGCCGGCTACTCACCAGCAACTTTTATCGGTAGAATCTGCAGAAAACGAAATTTCATGACGAACGAACGTGAAATTCTACGCTGTCATAGTGACTTTATTAGTACAATCGAAAATCTGGAGCGTATCTTTCTCTTAGTATTATAACCAATCCTCTTGAGCACCATTCGGATTCGCCCTCGTTTTAATCCACCGCCAAATAATTCTGATAAGCGTGACGAGATGATTGAAGGGCACAACAGATTCGTGCTGCGCAGGTTCGGGGAGCAACTCGGGAGACAGGAGGGATAGCTGGAAAATTGAGTTTCAGAACCAAAAAATAAGCCATGTGTACTCCCAATAATTGACGAGCCTACAGGTCTATCCCCAAAGTGAAAAACAGTCTTGTTGCTTTAACGCTAAGGAGAAGTGGGGGGATGGAAATCAAATAAAATAGAAAGTCGCTTGCAAAGTCTCTCGTTAGCCAAGGAACCGATAGTCCAGTACTGATCTACTGCTCAAGTCATTTTCGTTTATATCCTGTTTGATTTTGATGGGCAATTGGAGTACAAGAGCATACAGAACAGAACAGAATCGAGATTGATCTGCCCTAAACTTTGTTTGGCCCACCCTTTGAAAATGGAAATGTCATCCCAGCACTACCTGTGGATTTGGTTTGGGTAATGAAAATGGGGGGAGACGCCCTTTGAGAATAACAGCTAGTGATGGCATCATTCCTCATTTGACCATCGGCACTCACCACCGCCTCTCTTTTCGTCTTCTCGTACCCTTTTGATCGCTCCTTTTCCAATCCCAAGGTCGATTCAAATGATTTGTTCATACCGCGCCTCTCTTTTTTTTTTTTTTTAACTTGTCTTGAGCCTGCGAAAGATAGTCCTATTGCTGGAATACCGATGCGTTGGCCCATGTACTGATGATGTACAGCAACGTGCACATCAACTTGGCTGTTTAATACAAAAGAAGGGCTACCAAAAAGAAACTAATTGGTCAAACTGACAATCCTTCAAATCTTGACGGTGTCCATGCCAGATTCTATCGTAATCATTAGCATTCCGTGTGGTCATATTTCAGTCAGATAGCCTCGGCTTTTATTTACCAGGGCTTACAGTCTCCAGGACCAAGGTTTGAGGAATATGACAGAACCCACGAGGTTGGTCATGTTAGTTAAGTTCTCTGCAACAGGATGAAAACGGCTTTGTAAAATGGCCTGTTATTTCTGTCAATATTAACCGTCTCGGCCTCCAAGGCTACAAGCGAGATCCAAAAGACCAGGAAGCACAGAAAATTATTTGCTTTGAAGTTAGATATTCAGAAAGCCTATGACAGATTGACCTGGAACTTCATTAATAACATGCCAAAGTGATAGAATATTAAATTTTCTACGAATTGGAGTCGAATTCTTGTGCAAGTTGCTGCGCGTTTCCCTTTGCCTTTCTTCTATCAATTGTCTGCCCCCTCCATATTTATTCGTGTTTGTGCTGATCTTGCATGATTTGAGAAATCCAGATTACTTAAAGTCTAAAAAGCTGCCCCATCGTTTTATGAAAATCACGGCACGTGTTTTCACTCTGAAATATAAGTACAATGGGAAAAAAACCTTGCATTTGAACCAATGTATTTAAAACTAGACTTGTATTAAAGAATGATCAAACCAATAACATAATAATTAAATTAAAACAATTACATAGGTATGCAATAATTTAAATATAATAAATAAATATAAAATTGTTACTTAACTTAAAAATAAAATTAAATATTTTAAATTTATCATAACTTAACAAATTACATGATACAACATAATATTAAATGATTAAAAAAATTTTGATAAAAAATAAAAAAAAGTTTAATTTTTAAAATCAGATCCAGCTCCTGACTTGATTTCTGGTCTCACCTTGCCCAACCTGACTTAACTACCAAAACGATTTTTACATATTGATCGAATCAAAATCTGAACCGATTCAGTTTTTTAATCACTGATTTGAACAAGCCCCATGCAAAAATAAGTGCTCCTGGAGATATGATTGAAATTCAGTGAAAAAAGATAATTACATGAACGAAAATCTCACATTTGCACTCTTTTAGATGAGCGAAAGATTCATCTCAAATACTTCCTAGTCTCTCAACTATCGTATCGGCATCTAGCATCTGTTCGCTCAAATCTTTTTTTTTTTTAAATAATAAAGGAGGGAACTAGCCCAAAGTTAGAAAATCAAGGAGATCGGGAATTTAATCCCATAACTTCGCTCTCAATCATTGCCCATAAGAAGTTAGGGGCAGAATAAAAAATTCCAGAACCTGAAAAACCATGTTTAGCTAATATATCCACAGCACCGTTGGCTTCATAATACAATTTTAAAGCACGAATAAAATAATTTAGTGGAATTTTCTATTTAGCCTGTGACCATGTTTGAAAACAGTTCTCAATTAGAGATCCATTGGTTGGCTCGGTCCTATTTCCCCTAAGCCGAGGCATCCATGATCCAGTATTGGACCGGGCCCTTTATTGACCACAGCCCATGATTTTGCCTTCAATTCCATTTCTTCACCACGCGCAGGATGTCCCGACTCTTGAGAAGCCAGGCGCAAGCCTTTTGTGGCACCCTTTCGACTAGAAAGCCTTTCGGTAAAGTACATACTAATTAAAATAAGCAACGAGCACCATGGCAGTACAAGGAGAAATGGAGCCAAATCTAAAGGTTTCAAATGTGAATGATGGTTATAGAGACAATGGGTTGGATCAACTTGTGAGTGTGGATCCTAGGCTTAGTGAAGGTGAGGATATGATGGAATTAGTGGATATTTCTACACAACATAGTCTCGAGGCACGTAATTTGTCTACGAGTCCCGACACTTCCATGCACGAAGGTGATTCTACTAAGCTGGATGCGGTAAACCATGAGGTTGTTTTGAGCCCTAAAGCTCGCACACGTCTATCCGTGTTCAATGAATTTCTTATTTTGGAATAGCAGAGACACAGGTTCGAAATCTTTCCTAGGCTTGATTAGCGAAATTTCAAAGAAACATTCAGTAGACTTTATTGCTCTTGAAACTAGAGCTAATGGAGTTAAAGCTCCTCATTTGGCAAACCGGTTGGGATTTCGAAACTTTGAGATGGTGCGATCAAAGGGCTCTAGTGGTGGACTATGGGTTCGATGGAATGATGTGGCTGGGCGTTTTGAAGTTCCAGAAGCCCATGAACAGTTCATTCTTTTAAAAGTTAATATTGGTTGCATTGAGGCATTTTTTACAGCAGTTTATGCTAGCCTAAATCCCATCAAACGTTGAACCCTCTGGTCTAAGTTGAAGAAAATTAGCCAGACGTTGGTAGGCCCTTGGTGCATTGATGGAGATTTCAACAGCACCCTTTTCATGCGTGATAGAAAATCTGTGCATCATACCGGAGCTAGCATCGATAGAAACTTTTGTTGTTGGGCTAACGACCTTGGGCTTTCAGATTTGGGTTGCAAAGGTCTACATTTTACTTGGCATTGTGATAGGAGCGAGAGCCGGATTGATGGAGTTCTAGGTAATGGTTTATTTTTAAAACAATTTCCAAATGCTTCTGTTACTCATCTACCCTTTTTCAACTCTGATCGTCGGCCTTTATTGCTTCGTATGGTTGAAGAAGGAGACCGGATTAGAAATAAAGATCAACTATTTTGTTTTAACGCTTCCCGGGTGCTTCATTTAGATTTTGAAAGATTGATTCGTGAAAGTGATTGGATTGTTAATGTTCAATGTTTGGCTGATGCTGTCAGTAAATGGAGTTATGAAGTTTATGGGCATTTGGGTGGGAAGAAGCATCATTTGCTTAATAGACTTGAAGGCTTGCATAATTCTGTGGCTTATTGTTATAGTCCGAACTCTTTTGAAGCTTTCAGTATAAACTTTGACAGGAGTTTGAAGAAGTTATTTTGCAAGACGACCTTCTTTAGGCTCAAAAATCGAAATGTGATCGGTTTACGCTGGGTGATGGAAATTCTAAATATTTCCACGCACATGCGAATGCTAGAAGGAAAAGAAATAAAATTGAAGCTCTTCAGAATGGTAGTGGTGAGGGGGTTTATGACATGGAAGCAATCAAAGATATAGCTCTTTATTGTTTCCAGAATCTGTTTCGTGATGATACTGGCATAACTGTAGGTAACTCGCTAACTCTTCATCTTTGTCCTATTTCATATCCTTATCTTGCTAATGATTGTCTGCACGGAGTGGGAAACAATTTTATACGTAAGTTATAAATGTCCAATGTTCAATTATAAATGCCTTTACCAAATTGTAAAAGCATAGAATTTGCAATTAGAAATTATTTTGTAAATTTTATAAAACATCTAGATAATAAATTCTCTTTAGACCTAGGCGTAATTTTTCCTTTTATTTTCTGATTCTCACTCAAATTAATGTCATCCTGCTCCTTTGTTTGCCTCACATAAATTCAAACACAAAACAACCGTTGGCATGACCGCTTCTATATAAAATCTGACGCAATGAGCGTTAAAAATCAGAGACGTGTCCTCAAAAATTCATTAAATATTCATGTAGTATAGATGCTATTTTTAACAATTTTTTAAATAAAAAACTAAGAGTTTCCCGACATTTTTCAAACAACTGTCACGATCAGCTAATCAGGAAATAAGGCATCGTTGTAGCGTTGTTGACTCAATACATCTACAAGAAATGCATCAAGAAGCAGGATGGAATGCTGAGAGTCCGGGTTATGGCAGCGGCACAGAGAAGAGATTACCTACGAACAGACTCAACACGATATAGTGTAGCAAAATGAAGACACAGAAATGAGACAATAAAACGGTGCAAGTAGTATATTTATGAAGACGGATATATGTGTTTGCAGAACAACGTGGTAGGTGATAGAATTGAAACTCACACAGACCTAAGCAAGGGTTTGTCATGGCAACTGCATAAAATACTATCATGCTTTACCAACCATTCAAGAAGCGAACAAAACTCATCGAAGTGTCATAAGATTAACATTATTCAGAATTGCAGGGGGAAAGGGCATAGAAGGACAGAAATGGCGGGGAAAGGGTCATTGAGTACATCTCGCAGCACAAATCGGGAGTTCACTTGGACAACTCGGCTGAAAAAGTGGTGGCCAAAGATGTGGTGGTTGACGGGGACACAGCGCTCGAGCCACCCAGGTACCACCTCTTGATCGCATCCACCACATTGGCATTCTCTACCACAAACTTGGAGTCTTCCTTCCCCTCCAACGACACCACGATCTGCACACAACCCTATGCAAGTTAGAGAGAAGACCATCAATTTTGGCAACCAAAGTGCTCACTTATTCCTCGAATTCACTTACCTCAGCTGTTGGAGAATTTGCTGGGAAATAATAGGTGATGACAGAGTGTTTCTTGAAGTATTTGGACTGAAAAAACTCGACGACTTTTTCCAGAGCTTCCTCCTCCTCCTCCTCATACTTGTCCTCTGCTGCCAATCGATCCCTCACCGCCGTCTCTATCTGTGTTCCATACTGAGAACCCTTGATCTCCTTGATCACCACTATTCTGATAAATTTCTCCACCGGGGCTGCACCGACACCCACGAATTACACAGAGGTGTTTCATTTTATTTTTTTTAACCAGTTCTCGAAGCCTTGATACAGAATTGACCGAGACGAACACGTAATCAGGATTCTGATGACTTACCAGAGATGAGACAGGCGAAGAAATCATCGCTGTCTTCCAGCTCCTTTGCGGGTTTACCTTTCCATTGCTGCAAGTGATTCACTATGTCCGGCTCGAAATAAACTCCGATCGAGTAGAACTTCACTTGGAGGAAATGAATCTCCATGTCCGTGATCCCTGATCAAAACAGAGCAATGAAGCTGCAGTTAGGGCGACTCAATCTAGGGTTGAAATTGGGAGCGTTGACCTGCAAATCCCAGGAGAAAAAGAATTCACGAATTGCAAGGGAGACTAACCGTGACCGAGCAGAGAAAGGGGCTTGGCAGTAGTGATCTTGGAAGGATAAGAGATTTCATCGACCATCACCGTTTCACCCGTAGCAGCCACTGCGATTGAAAGTCACAAAAAAAGAAAGTTACATAAAAGAAAGAAACAATGGTTGGAAATCGATATGGTAAAGAAAGAGCAAGGGAAAGAGGAGTGTTACTAGCTAGTTGTGGTTGGAGCAGAAGACAGAGAGAGATGGTGAGCAACAAAAACAAAGAAGGAAGAAGGAAGGCAGACCTTATAAGGCAGTGTGTGAGACGAGTGAGTCGTCAAAATGGTAAAAGGTGGGTAGGTTGAGGGGTTTGATGCGCCGGTGAGATTATCATAAATTCCATTACTTTATCCTCCATTCTGCTTCAGGTCAAAAATCCTCCATTCTGCTATGCCCACGAGATCCTCCTTTTTACCGTCATTACTATGTTCCTCCAAAAATATTTCACCCCTGTTATTATTATTATTTAAGACTTGGATTGGATCTTTATCTTTTGTTGCCTTAATTAAATATTTGCTTCCGCTACTTGATCACACTTCTGGCATTAAATGGAAAATCAATAACCATAGCATTTACTATGATGCGTGTGTTTATGAATTGATGTATGATTGTTGACTCGGGTTCGTTCAATTTAGTTGGGTTTGAAATCCTGTGCAGCCTCCACAGCCACCGCCTGATTTGGTGGCACGAGCTCTACCCTTCCTTGTACCTACCCATCTATATATCCATAAACGCACACATCAAATTTTTTTTTTTTAATCAAAATGCCAACAATTACATCGTGCAAAAAATTAGGAAAGACAAAGATACAAAAATATTTATAAAGTTTTCTTCCAGAAACACCCATTATCTTTAAGTGAAAAATGATATAGCCCATAAATTAGCTTTAATGGATGCATCGATCTCCAACCTGTTAAAGATAATTGACATCAGTTGAAATTTTATTTTAAGCTGCACAATCCATATCAGGTGGTTGCCACATCGCCACCTCTTTCCTCCCTCGATCTCCACTCATTGCATCAGAGTCCCAAAACCAAACAAGGTTGGCCATCGTGAAACTGGCCAATATGATCAATGTGCCCATGTCCCTTAATGTCGTCGTCTGTCTCAACGTTCCCAACACCATTTGGCAGTCCAGCTCCAACGCTCCCTTCTCTGCACCATCTGGTAGTCCGGTCGGCTCTAACGCTCCCCTCTCCGTTTCTGATATTTTTTAACGCGTCCTTCCTTCCTACAACAACATCAAAAACCTCCAACACATCCTTCGCTTGTCCTATGCAGCTTATGTGCTCCAGTGCCACTACGTCCTTTTGAAATCTAGCACAATTACTATGTGCAATGAGAAAGGAGTTTAGCCTAGGGAGCTACTGACAGGGTTCATATACCTAAATACCCTGCACTCCTGTGCCCTGTTCATCTAGACAAGTTGATTTATATACCCCTCCCGAATGAGGAATCCCATTATCAGCTAATTAAATCTTGCCTGCGCAAGTCCCATGTTTCAAAGGATGTTGATATGAGAGCTCTTGCCCAGTAGAAGGGATGGTGAAGTAAGAAGAAGGAGAAATGGCAGGAGGAGAGAGAGATATTTGCAAAGGAGAAATGGCAGAAGGAGTTTAGGAGATGCCTAGGGAGCTACTGACAGGGTTCATATACCTAAACACCCTGCACTTCTGTGCCCTGTTCATCTAGACAAGTTGATTTATATACCCCTCCCGAATGAGGAATCCCATTATCAGCTAATTAAATCTTGCCTGCGCAAATCCCATGTTTCAAAGGATGTTGATATGAGGGCTCTTGCCAAGTAGAAGGGATGGTGAAGTAAGAAGAAGGAGAAATGGCAGGAGGAGAGAAATAGCAGGTGAAGTAAGAAGAAGGAGAAATAGCAACATTTGGAAGAGGTATTTGCAACGGAAGAACAGATGGTGAGAGGAGTGAAGGATTTGGAGGAAGACGACAGCTGGGCAAAATTTTTAGTCTATCTCAGCTAAAAATGGTCAAACCATTTGCTTAGATGTAGATTAACGCGCAACACCAGTTACCTTCAACGGTTAGAGACGGATGCACTTATTGAAGCTAATTTATGAATATTTTTTCACCATTCTTTACTTAAGTATGTTGAACACTCATGGAAGAAAATTTTATAGGTATTTTTGCACATATTTTCTGAACCAGGAATTACAAATAGGGACCAGGCTCTTGATGGATTTTGTGTTGATCAGAATATTCATCTTTATTTTCTTAATTGTTTGGGTTAAATAGGTCACAAAGCTAGTTGGGCAGAGCAACTAAAGGGTCTGGTCCAATACAAATAAAAGGGCTGGCCCCGAACTCAATAAAGGCCACAATGAGATAAAAATGCTGAAATCCCACTAGTTACAAACATTAGACCATTGGCATAAGAAGACATGATTGCGAGTAATTTCAAAATTCACGAACATCATGCCTGAGTATCTCGATGAAATAGGCTGATTATTAAAAATGGAGAATACGGAATAAAGATTATGCCATGAGTTTCGCAAGATCCTTAGTTCCTCAACAAAACATGCTAGGTCTTAAAAGAGAGGCTACCACCACTTTATCACTATAAATAAAAGATGGAGACACAAAAGAAAAACAATCAATACTTAATTAAAGACTCGCATTGTTACACCATTTTTAGTCTTTCCAATTAGTTTTATTTTCAATTTAGACTTGTAACTTCTCACATTTCAATTAAAAAAAAAATCAAACACTTATTCTACCAAAATTTTGTATATCTTTTACATTCGAGTGAACTATGGTAAGGGAGCTCCAGACCCTTTTGTTATTAATTGAGACCTAGCGTTTCTGACACGCCTAGTATTTGTTGTTCACCACTAATATTAATAATCATCTTTAATTTTTTTAATATCTAACTTAGGTTTTTCTGTGCTCAGTTTTTAATTTTTTGTAATATTTACACTTGACACAGTCCCAAAAAAACATGCACTAATTTGTTTAGCTTTTTTTTTTTTTACATTTGGAACTTTTTATTAAGTGAAAAGCTTTCTGCTAAAAAAGATTAAAAATGAGCACAGAAAAATAAAGTTAGTTGCTAAAAAATTCGGGGAAAATACGAGTACTGGAGAAATTTGAAGAAATGTATTGGAAAAAATAATAGTTCATCTTTGCTATGAGTGTTTTGATGGAATTATTGTAAAAGGAAAAGGAATGTGAATAAAACCAGAAAGAAAAAGAAGCGGGCCTTTAAGAAATGGTTGCTTATCCACAGTACAATTTTTGCTTGGTGTGTATGAATGGAGATGGAGCAGGGAAAAGAAGCCCGGAACATGAAAAAGAGACCTCGATGCCCTAAAACAAAATCAGAACATATTTCACCCTCGGATTCATGAACAAAGGGTGAATCATATGGCGTTTATATTTAAGAATTGAATCCAAATTGATGGGAGGGAGAGATGGGGGATGCCGGTGCAAAGGTTTGAAGTTTTACTGCATGAAGCTTGCATGTTTGAAGGGGGATTGCAGATAGGGGGAGGGAGAGAGCGTGTGTGCAAATTAAACTCAGACCCTGGACCTTCGCTGTCTTGGATCTCTGAATGTTGAGGGGAGAAGGGTGATCTGTGTGGTGATCTCTACCGTGTTTTTCTTTAGATCCACTGTGAGAAACAAAGAGGCAGGAGATGCCATGTTGTGTGGTCGCAATAACTGTATGTTTGCGTTCAAAATTCCGCAACTAAGGTTAGGATTGGCTAGAATTAAGAGGTTTGTAATTGTATGGTGATTCATGTTTTAATACCTCGTTTTCAAAAGTAAATTGAACAAATTAAAATTTATTTGTATGATTTAATTCAAAAATTAATTGAAATGTGCAATGAGAAAAAAAGCATAACTTTTATTATATATATTTTTGTGATTAATTTAATATTTTTAGAAAAAAATTAAATTTAAAATATCAATTTTATTTTTAAAAAGGTTGAGATAAAGTTTTAAAATAAATTGATAAATTAAAAAATATTACATTCATGTGTATATTATATGTTCTCTTAACAACAAATTCTCATTCAGGGAGAAAAAAAAACAAACGTCTCATTCACATTTTAACAATAATCAATTCACTTATTAACAAACCCTAAAAATTTAATTTGGTGATGGAGAGAAACAAATATTATGATTTAGTGAACGAGTTTTCATTAAAAAAAATAAGTTTCATTTCCATTATTAACAATTCCAAAAAAATAACTTGTTGGTAGAGAAAAAGAAATGTCATGTCTTCATAAAATAGTCCTCATTCAAGAAAAAATAAGTTATATTTTCATTCTAACAATAATCAATTCCTTTATTGATAACTATAAAATATTAATTTGATAGAGAAATTATTATAATCAAGTGAACAAGTCTTTATTTGAGAAAAAATAAATTTTATTTTTATTTTAATAACAATTAATTCTCCCACCACAACAAAAATACATCACAAGTAGTTTTATCTTTTCATAATAAATTTTAATTACATTTAAGTCTTTTGGTGCAATGTAATTTTAATATCAAAATCCTTTGACTTTGCAATGTAATTAATTGTTTCTAATGACCCTTGATTGTGATTTTTCTTATTTTTTGACCTTCTTCTCCTCACAATCTTTTAAATTAGTTACTATATTTTCACCCCCTAACTTTTCCTTGGCTTATACTCCTCTCCTCCATTCAAAATTACAAAAAAATTTTAATCAAATATCAACTCTTATTAATTAGTTAGTTTTCATTAAACTAATATCAATTTTGTCATATATTTACCCTTTTTAACAGGGTATTTTTAAAGTTAAAAATATAAATTTTTAAAAATATAATTCATTTAGTATAACTTTAAATCTATTACATTTAATCTTATTTATAAATCACTTCTAGTATGTTTAATTAGAATAAGAAAAACCTTAAACTTGATTAATTCTGTTTTAAAATTTAATACATTTTTACATTTATTCTTGACAAAAAATTTATTCTCAAAATTTTTCTTAACATTTAATAAGAGCGAAAATGTAAAGATGAACATAAAAAATAATAAAGTGTTCTTTAAATAAGATCAAAATTAATCTTCTATTTATCCTATAAATAAGTCAAGAGAAATATACAATTAATTATTATATATATGATCATTAATAAATCTGTAATGAGATCAGACATAACAGAGGAGTAATATTAAAAAATATGAATAATAAAATTTTATTTTTATTAAATTGCCTTATACTTTGAATAATAAAATATTTTTAAAATTACCTTATCAATTAGGATGGGTGGGACATTATATATGAGTTTGGGCTTTTCTTCACTTCCATTCTAAATACTAGTTTTTGTCCAGTCATGGGCTTAGGTCCCTTCATAGATTGCGATGCTCAACCCTTAATTTTTGCAGAACCATTATCTTTGCTGAAAAGAAAAAGTTTCGGAACGGCCAAATTCTTCCGGATACATGTAATCTTATTACAGACACGCGAAGCATTTCGTTTTCGTTAAATTGGATGGACGGGGCTTTACGATAATAAAGCAGCAGCAGACTGCAGAGGTTCATTTTTGAAATTGCTGGAAGTCCATCCGACGCGTTAATGTGCTGGCAATTAACCGCGAAAGTGACGACGTGGAGATCCACCTGGTCCAACGTGTCACGGCCTTTTGATTCTATTGGCCAAGGCTTTACTCGGAGCGAACGCCCGCGTTCGAAATGCATGCGCTTTTCGCGTGAATCCACGTGCCTCCCCACAAGAGCCCCTCCCACCAACCTGCGCCAATCTCGTCTTCGCTGCTTTACGTCACACGCCACCATCCCCTCATTATTGCACGCGTTCATTCTCCCTACCCTTCCTTTACTCCAACCAATCTCCGTCTTCCATTTAATTATAACCGCGTCGAATCATTACCGATCCAGGATCTACGCGCCTTCGAGGCTTCAACATTCTAACACTTCTACGGATCAAAACCTCGTTAGGAAAACGTCGCACCGTAACCGAGTAGGTTCGGCCACACAGAAAAAAAGACCCCCTCTCCTAAAGCAAAGGAATTCTGTTATTGGGATTTTTGGGAGTTGGCGCACGCTTTAACAAATCTGAGAAACGTTAGAAGTGTGACTTCGAATCTCCAACTCCGTCTGTTATATATGACGGTGACAATGGAAACGAGGAGTCTCCTCCTATCTTGATCGTCCTATATGCAATTCATCCTTTTTTTTCATTTTAATTTAAAGCTTCACAGCATCCATCACATGATCACAATCCCTGCCTTTCTTCCAGCCTGCTGCTTCCTCTTCACTTTCTTCTCCTGACTAATAACACAACTCCTTTTTCCCCCCGCTGATTGTCGGTTAAGATCCTAGTCGGACTCGCTCGTCCTCAATCCCAGTAGATGGCGTCGGCCACAATCGGCATCGGCAACAACATCTTTGTCGGGGATCACGTGGGGAAACGGGAAATCAAGAATAGGTGTAATGATCAGTTGGTGGTGATCGGCCATCAGAGCCGCTCGAGAGGAATACGGAAGGCGAGGATGTCGACCACCACGGCGAGTGTGGCACCGATTTGGAAGTACGAGGGAGGAGGAAAAGATAAGGATCGCAGAAATGACGCCGTTGATGTGCACGAGAGGCTGGACGGATGGATGAAGGATTCAGTGGTGGAGATCGTGAAGAATTTAAGGGAAGCGCCGCTGTTAGTACAGGTGTATCCTAAGAAGAATGCTAACGGCGGCGAGGCGACGGCACTGAGGACGGAGAAGGCAGAGGTGGATGATTGGCCGGGGGTGGTGCAGAAATGGGAAACAGGAGAGGCGCCATTGCCGGAAGGGGTCATATTGGTGGAGGAGTTGGGGGATGAAGGGAAAGAAGGGAAGGAGAGGACGACGAAGGCATGGGGGGTTGTGGTTCAGGGGAGGGGGGTGGGAAGCGGGCCCATATGTTACTTGCTGAAGACGAGTCGGGTCAAATCGGGTCCTGGGATGAGCCCGTTCTGCACCTATTACTGCTTAGTCCGAGTGAAGAGTTTCAGGGAAACCGTGGAATCGCAGCTCAAGAATTGTTGGCTCTTACCGGGCCAGGACTCCTGATGGTTACCGGTTCTGGAATTGATTTGAAAGATTGTGCAAATTCTGAAGATCATTATTATTATTGCATCTTTAAGGCCTGAAGTCTGTTAACTTGTATACAGTCAATCCAAGTGAAATTGTGCATGCCATCATTAATCTTGAGTAGTAATATTAACAACCATTGATTTCGATGTTTCAAAGATGTAAGTATTCTCAGTCCATCAATGTTTTTATTGATTTCGATGTATAAATTTTGTTATTTTTTTAACTACACACTAATAAAGTAATATTGTGTTGTTTTGCCAAGAGAAAAAGTAATATTGTATTGGTACCCAATAAAAGATGAAGATTCATTCCACTTAAATGTCTGTTGCAGTTGAAGTTACGGGCAACCACTGCTTTGGAAGATACTCGTTTTAGGGGTATATCTATTCTTTGGTAAAAGTGACGTGTAGAAATTCGTAAAACTTAAAATGGTCTGCAGGAATATAAAATATACTAGATAGGAGTAGATTGTTTGGGATGAGAGAGATAAGTTTTTTAATTAATGAGAGGGCAAGTAGAAGTAAGTTTTGAAATTATTGAGTAATTGACTGCCACTTACTAATGTTCATGCAAGTGGCAGTCAATTATTGCACCCATGGCTGCAATTTTGAGACCCAATGATTTGAGAAGCCTCGTGAAATTATTCGTTACGGAATATGAAATGTAAGTCATGCATTCTGAAATGATGTAGTACATGTAATTATTACATGAATTATATGAATATGTGAATATGAATATGAAAGTAGGGTAGATGATATTGATGCTGATTCATCAGATTCAGACTTTCCAGTCATTTTTTATTAGCGAGCCAATTTATTGATCGTATAAATTAGAACCCGTTCGGTTATCAGACTATTCTCTTTATCCTGGACGACTAAATTGAGTTTTTTTTTTTTTTTGGCATTGGCAATTGAAAGTTTTATAAGCAGTAGTCAAGTTATTGAATTTCATAGTGTAGGTTCAAACGTTTTCAACATATGTTGAATTCACTGAAATAAGGTACTCTTATAATTATATTTGTAAGTTATTTTTAACTTGTTTTATTGTAATTAAGTAAAAAATTTAAAATTTATTAATATGTGTAAAAATTTAATAAGTTATCATTTTTATTTTTATTAAACACATATACTTTAATAATGTATTAAATAAAAAATATGATAGAAATTTAATAAAATAATTTATAAATAAAACAAAAAAAGACTTTTTTTTTTATTCTACAAACAGGACTGGAGGGAGCAAGTCAGTAACTGTGGCCACAAGTCGAGGACACGGAATGATGGGGATGGCAACGGAATTAAATGGGATTGGAATAGTGGATGGAGTGGAGCGAAACAAGTTGTTCAGTGTTCAGTATTCAAATTTCACTGTTTCATTTAGATATTTTATTTTTGACAATCCGTTCTTGATTGTATAGCTTATATTATAGTTTTTGATATGACTACACTCAATCCCTTTTTGCACGGTTTTTCTGTGGCTTTATATTAAAAAAAAAATTTACTGTTTCGTAATCAAGTAATTTTGCAGGGTTTTGAAATCCGTGGATGCTTAAAAGCTTTACTCCTATTGTGGCTTACTCGTTCTCCTTCGTTTCGTTCCGTCCTAGTACATAAATTATGGTCAAATAAAATGTTTTGAAATTTACTCGGGATTTATATACGCAAAAGACTTCACTCATATTGCGAGATTGTCACATGCCTGGATTCTCTTAGGTGGTCAGAGATGGAGATTTCCAAATAAGGGAGGTTTCTCAAGGCACGGAGCAGTGCAATCCACTGATCCAACCATGCAATATAGCACCGACTCTCATTTATATAAGATTCCTTTTGCTTCTTCACTCCCTCCTCCATTTCTTCCTCCCTTTTGACTACTCAACGTTTCCCCCAAGCAACGAATCAAGTTGTTTGCAAATGAATCTCAATCCATCGCCTGCACAAATCAAACCCTGCGCCATTTTTTTTATTTAATATCTGGGAGACCAATAATTGCTTCCACTATATGATCGAAACCATTAAATAAAGTACTCATATTTTAATCCACCTTTTTATAATACCAACTATGCGCCTCCTGCATGTTTTTCTTCTTCTTCTGTTTTTTTTTTTTTAAATTTTGGAGACAATAAAAGTTTCTTTTCTGGGATCTGCTCTTAGATTGGGATTAACAACTGTACAAAAATCTCCGTGGACCAAGGCAAGGGTTGATTTCCGACCATTTTAAAAGTTGTAAATCGGGCAAGAACCAAATGTTCCGTATCCCAGAGAAGAAAACCCGAAAATCTCCCAACCCTGACACTACAGGGAAAGGTAAAGACTTTGAGTTTTTGTTTTTGAGAAGATTTGATCAAAACCATGTTGCTCTCCAAGAATGGGAATAGCTGCAGATTAAATAGCCATTTAACAAATAGAACCGGCTGAAGCCAGGGGGTGAGATGGTGAATCCGGCAAAGATAGGTAAGAAAGAATGTAATAACAAGGGAGTGAGAAATGATTCGGTTTGGGATAGAATCCATCACGAAATCTCTGTGAATTTGATGATTTGTAAAATTCGTCCCCTTGATGGATTTCCATCCGCATTTGCTCTCCGAGTATATAAGGCCACGAACTTTCACGCACTTCTCGTGACTTTCCACTTGGTCCTATCATGTTTCTCCTCGCCTTGCTTTCTTGCAGTCGCGTTTCTTAGTCATTACAGAAACCTAAGACAGAGGTTAGGTAAGCGTATGGCCTCTAGGGGATCCGCCTCTTCTTCTTCTTCGACTTGGATGCCGGAAAACGGCGGCGTTCCTCATGTTTTAGCGGTCGATGACAATCTCGTTGATCGCAAACTTGTCGAGAAGCTTCTCAGGAACTCTTCTTGCAAAGGTAATATTAATATATAATATGCCATTTAATTTTCTCTTCTTCCTCGTGGATGTAAATATGTACTGGACTGTGTGCGCAGTGACAACAGCAAAAAATGCGACGAGGGCGTTGGAATTCTTGGGGCTGGCAACTACTGATCATGATGAGCATAACGCCGAGAAGGGCGCTGTGAGTAACCCTTATATATTTTGAAGCACAGTCGTCCTCTCCTTACTTTCCCATACCAGGCTTTAATTTTCACTGACACATCTGATATGATTGTCTCCATACATGCAAAGTCAATTTGGTTATCACAGACTATTGTATGCCCGGAATGATAGGCTACAATCTACTTGAGAAAATCAAGGTGAATTCAGAGACCATTTCGGTTCTGCACATATATTTCGAGATTTTGCCTTGAGTCTCGTAAAGGAGATGTTTGCGGGAAACTGCAGGGATCATCTATCGTGAAGGAGTTCCGGTGGTGATCATGTCATCTGAAAATGTGCCAACTCGGATTACCAGGTAATTCCCAGCATTTATTAAGTGCACTCCGTGCACACACGCGCACACACAATATATATATATATATATATATCATGCATATATAGTTATCAACACGCGCGCGCGCGCACATCATGCATATATAGTTATCATCGTCTATATATACAACTCTCATTTTGTACATTAGGTTACGTTTATCGATGTCTTTCATTTTCATTGGTTAATCGTTAAATGTTGTGCCATAATAGATGTTTGGAGGGAGGAGCTCAAATGTTCATCCTTAAACCCCTTAAACAATCTGATGTTAGCGAGCTGACGTGTCAATTGATGAACTGCAAAGTCTAAAGCTGATCCTTGAATCGATCGATCAGTTTTCTAGCTATACCTACTTCGGACTAGCTTTTTCTACAGGAACAGATTCCTGATGTTTTAGCCAGTGTAAAGATTTTCTTTTGTTTTTGTTTTTGTTTTTTGTTTTTATCTTCAAAAAGATGTTGTCATGTCTTCTCAAGGAAATCTTAAACTGGTTTCAGGTTTCCTTAGTTGCAACATAATTCGCTGCGTTCTGTTTTCCCACTTTCGATTGTGTTTTTGTTTGAGCACAGCATTTGAAATATACTCGTTTATATTTTACCGATGACATGTCAGCATATCAATTGAATATATTAATATACATTGTAAACTTGATACAATCCACATTATTTTTAAATTGCTAATAGCGCGTTTTATTTTATTTTTTTTCCTTGGCTAAATTACATACAACTCTCATAAAATTTGAACCATATATAAATAACCCTCGTAACCTTTAAAACTTAACAATAAAACTTTTTTAGTTTTTAGGTATATGAAAATAACTCCTAAACATTAATTTTATATTCTCTTAAAATTTATTTTTGTGTGCATTTAAGCCCCATAAACTTTGATTAATATACGAATAATCCACTTAAATTTTAAGTTACATGTAAATAATTAATGTATAAAAATAATTATATAAGTTATTTGCATAAACATAAGAGTTGATAGGGGTTCATTGTAAAGTTTCAAAGGTTAGGAATGTTATGTGTATATAGTTTAAAGTTCAAGAAAATAATGTATAATTTAGCTTTTTTTTTTTTTTAATTGAGTGTAAATGTGTAATGTACAGAGAAATCTGTCTTCATGAAAAAATTCCATGACTGTCGAGAAAAAAAATTCTGGAGATGTTTGTTTTTTTTTAAAGATTAAAACCAGTAAAATTTATTAAATTCAATATCATATATTTTTAATTATGTTGAAAAAAATTTTTAATTTGATTTTTTTATGTTGTTATGAAAAATTATTAGATGAAAATAAAAATTTCAACGTAGATGCGATAGGGCCTTAGACAATTTCTCTACAACAATGGGACTCAATCGTGCTACAAAACTGAACAGGCCCCCAAAAATGTGTATCTGAAGGCAATTCAATCAGTCCTTGTGCCCCAGCCCAATACAATTAATCATTTCGGACATCTGTAAACACAGTCCGCTCAAGAAATCCTCTATCCAAACACGGTTTTCGTGTTTTTTTCAGATGTGTTTTCATCAATGATTTAAATGGCTGTGATAAATTCTGTAAAACTCATGATAATGATAAATCTTATACTATTTTTTGACCTGAATTTAATTATTTAAATACTCCAAATCTCCTCATGTCTTACATTTTATAATCCAAATTCTCACATGCTCTAATAAAAGTAATACATAAAGTAACTGGCTGTATACATACATATTTTTAAGATTGAGAAAGACGTTGTTCAATGGAAGCGCATGACAATAACGGAACGAGCTGTTTAAAAAATATTCTTCAAAGGTAAAACTTAAGAATGAATGCCTCTAATATCCCCCATTCATGAAAATCTTTAAGATATATTTTTTAATCTTATTTATAAATTATTTCTAACATGTGTTATTAAAATTATAAAAATTTTAAATTTTATCAACTCTATCTTAAATTTTAATAAATTTTTATTTATGATATAATTATTTTTAATAATTTTTTTAGTATTTAATAAGAATATAAAAATAAAAATGAACTAAACAAACAGCATAAAGAGTGTGAGCAACACAAAAGATAAAATAGAAACAAAAAAATCCAAGACTTTCTTCATATTTAATTATTTATTCCTCGAAGGCTCAATGCTCGCGCTTCATTTTAAAGGATATATTTCATTCTGCTATTATCTTTTTTACAAAAGGCTTTCGGCGTAATCCGACTCCGAACCTCTGGGTGGCTTTCACCCCGCTCTTGAACTGCACATAGTGCGATTCTGATACCAGAGTTTTCGCAATGGCGACAGTGTTGGAGCCATCAGCTGTTAACCCACTGTTCGCGATAAAGTCCCACTCATCTTATCCAAATTACAGTAATCTAAAGTTTCAGACTTTTTCCCTAACATCCGCTTCTCTCACTCTTGGTCCTCCTGATGCCAATCGTCCTCGTTGTGCTGGAACGTCTTCTCCCTCCTCTTCACCGCGACCCCAAGACACTGACCTCGATACTGAATCCGACCCAGACCCGAAGAGCGACCGCCGGCGAGCCGTTAGGCTGGCCTGGGAGAAGCTAGTCCGGTGGTCCAGGTCTTGGCGCTCCAAGGTCAAGACTGACGTAATAGAACGGACCAACAAGGTTTGCTTTGCTAGTCCGCCTTTTTTTTGTTGGTTATTTCTTTTAATTTGATATTTTCAGTTTCTTTGCTGCTTTTGAGGCATTGAGTATGTTCTTTCCTAGTTTCGGGGAACTTATTCTAACACTAATATTGTCGATAACTTTATTCGCCGTTTTCGATTATTTATCTTGTGGTATGATATTGTTTGTTAACCCATGCATTGAAAGTGTTCGGTCCTGTATCCATAGAGCTCTTGGTTTTGTTCTAGCGGGCCTTTCCATATGAAAATGTAATCTTTTCGTAATTTGTCCTGTGGGGCATTTTGAAATTCATTTGCACGGCAGGTGGTTGTGCTGGGAGGGGGATCATTTGGGACGGCAATGGCTGCCCATGTTGCTAATAAGAAGGCTCAATTGGAAGTCAAGATGCTAGTGCGGGACCCTCAAGTTTGCTTATCTATTAATGAGAGGCACAGCAACTGGTAAACACTTTCTTCTTCACATAATTTACCTTATGGTGTATCAATAACATCCGCCATTTCTATTAAGTGATTGCCTTCTTGCAGCAAGTACTTCCCAGAACACAAGCTTCCGGAAAATGTTGTTGCAACAACTGATGCAAAAGATGCTTTGATTGATGCCGATTACTGCCTCCACGCTGTGCCTGTTCAGGTCATCCAGATCTTTTTGACTTTACAAGTCTACTAGAAGTAGTTACTGATGTTTTATTATGTCTTGATTCTTTTAGTAAAAAAAAAAAAAATGCATTGATTCAATCGTGCACAACAGAAGTGATTGTCTGAAATCTGAATTGTATCTCTACTATTGCAGTTCAGCTCATCCTTTCTTGAGAGTGTCGCAGATTTTGTTGATCCAGGCTTGCCATTTATATCTCTCAGTAAAGGTCTAGAGCTTAACACACTGAGGATGATGTCTCAAATTATTCCTCAAGCATTAAAAAATCCTCGCCAGCCTCTTGTTGCACTATCAGGGCCTTCCTTTGCTCTAGAGTTGATGAATAAGCTGCCCACAGGTTAGGTTGGTAGTTCCACATGTGGATTACGTACTTTCAATTCTCTTCTTTTTGAGGTTCCAAAATAATTAATGTTGGGTTGTTTTCCTCCTTTCTGAAATAACAGCCCTGGTAGTGGCATCCAAAGACAAAAAATTGGCAAATGCAGTTCAGCAATTGCTATCTTCCAGTCAATTAAGAATAAGTACATCAAGGTAAATGGTCTTCACTCGATTCATCATATGAGATCAATTTCATATGCAAAATACTTGAGTTTTCCCTCGAGCCTGTTACAACTAGAGCATCCATATATTTGATCATCTAATGCTTTAACTTTGTCTCCTTTTCGAATGATGAATAATGCATGTATTACCTGTCTGCTTCATTCTATCTTGGCTTGTTAAGATTCCCTGGCTTTTGTGTACAATAATAATTTATGTTCTCATGTTCAGCATGTAATCTCTTTTAACTCCAGTGATGTTACAGGAGTTGAAATCGCAGGTGCACTTAAGAATGTGCTTGCAATAGCTGCGGGGATTGTGGAAGGTATGAATCTAGGAAACAACTCAATGGCTGCTCTTGTTGCACAAGGCTGTTCTGAGATACGATGGCTTGCGACAAAGGTATCCACTATATCAATTCTGTAATTAGTAGTAACTTTCACCTCTCTTCTTTCCCTAGAAATGGTAGATGCAATGCTGTACAGAATGCCCAAGTAAACCTTGATGTCTTGTGCTGTATGGGCATTGATAGTTTTCTGAGTCTGGGTCTGAGCTTCTAGGCATGCTGAACATGTTTATAAACTACAGTTGATGATCTTGTGGTGTCCATGCGGCATGTGTTGCCTTTGTTGCTTCCTGCAAATCAGTAATGCTCATGATGCTGGTGTTATTGTCTTCTGAAGATGGGTGCAAAACCAACAACAATAACCGGTCTATCAGGAAGTGGAGACATAATGCTTACGTGCTTTGTAAATCTTTCGAGGAACAAAACAGTTGGCATGCGTCTTGGATCTGGGGAGAAACTTGAGAATATACTGAATTCCATGAATCAGGTATGTCAAAAGATTCCCAATTGTGCCAAACTGCCAGCTTATGAGAACTGAAGTAAGATGTGTATGGTTTCTGTGTGAAGGTGGCAGAAGGTGTGTCTACAGCTGGAGCTGTGATTGCTTTGGCGCAGAAATATAACGTGAAATTGCCAGTTTTGACGGCAGTTGCTCGTATCATTGACAATGAACTCACCCCACAGAAAGCTGTTTTCGAGTTGATGAGCCTTCCTCAGGTTATATTCCGACCCTCCTTTTCAGGGTTCTTTTGTGCTCAGTTTTCATTGGCTCTTCTAATGTGAGGGAAGACCATTTTCTTTGTAGGTGGAGGAAGTATGAAACTCCTTATCCTCACCTACCAGCCTGCATTTTATTTGGCCATTCTTTTCCCTGTTGCCTCCTGGGTATAATTATTTTTTCTTCGCCGTTGTGCTTCTGGTGCACAAGATTTGGCGAGGACAATTTTGCAAAAATGGGAGTTATGCCGTACAATACTTGGAATTTGAGGAATATATAGACCATAGACAACTCGCCTCATCGAATACTTGTTTACCACGTTGGTCAAACAAAGAATACTTGTTTACCACGACCATGGTTCCGAATTGATTTCGAGATATTTCCCAAGGAAGGAAGTTTCGGTATGTTACTAAAACCAAGTGCTTGTGGCGTTAAATAAGTTGAATTCCATTCAAGTTTAAACTCGAAGCTAAGCTAAGCCCCAGCTACTAGAAATGGAATTTTCGAATTGCTACTGTCAAAGAGAAATATGAGAAGCCGAAGACATTACATTCAGACGAAAGAAACCCCAGGCCTCCTGACGAGGATGCGAAAAGCCAGAGGACGATCCACCTCGAGTCAAAGTTTGGACTGCTTGAAAAGACATATAATTAACCAGTAAGAAGAGCACTTGAATTTTCTTCAGAAATGGAATGCTTGTTCTAGTCATCACGCGATCAGTGATTTTCTCAGTATTCAAATGAAGGGAACCATGGATGTTCCTCTAGCTCTTCATTCTGCCATGTATCTTCTTTATATCCTGCTAAATTCTCTTCTCTAATTGTTACTGTTACAATTTCATTTTTGACGACCCTGGTTCTTTTGGAAAATCTTACCTAAAAATATTAACTTGTTTTCAAGAAGTCTCACAATATATAAATGTTAAACTCAGTATATGATATTCTTTTGGCCAAAAATATATATGATATTTTCGTATACATTCGTATAAAAATTATATCATGTTCCTAATTATAAGCATTATAATAATTCTACTCAAGCCAAACTGCTTGAAAATCTCTTTAACTTTGAGATGAAAAATAATCTTAAAAGTTCCGTGCTATATGTATATATAGGGGAAATGATATTAAAATTTCTTTCAATTATTTAAATGACATTTTAATTTTTTGAAATGTGATGATTTTTTTGAAAATTTTAGAAACTTTTCTATTATTAAAAAGTTAATGTAAAAGATTAAATTGTTTTTTATTGAAATAAAAATTCCAAACATCAAAATAAATACTTGCAAACTTGTTTAGGAAAAAAAAAAAGTTGTGAATATAAAATAAAACTTGTGAATGACAATTAATATTTGTAATATTTAAAAAATATTAAAATTTTAAATATAAATTTGTGAATTGTTATTAAATTCTTGTGAGTTTAAAAAGAAAAATTATGAATTTTAAAATAAAACTTGTGAATGATAATTAATATTTATAACATTTGAGCAATATTAAGATGTTAAATACGAACTTATGAATTGTTATTAAATTCTTTCAAATTTAAAAAGAAAAATTATGAATCTTAAAAGAAAATTTGTGAATATTAATTGATATTTAAAACATTTAAAAAATATCAAGATTTTAAATATAAACTTATAAATTGCTATTAAATTATTGTAATTGTAAGCAAAAAAATTATAAATTTTAAAATAAAACTTGCAAATAAAGGGCGTGAAGTATTTATTTTGAGGTTTGAGGCTTTTATTTTAATTAAGAACAATTTAATATTTTATATTAATTTTTTAATGACAGAAAAGTCCTTAAATACTTCAAAGAAATTACAACATTTTAAGAGATTAAAATATTATTTACATAATTCAAAAAAATTTTGTTATCATTTTCCCATATATATATATATATATATAATTTGTTTGACTATAGTTTAATTAACAAGTTATGATACTTTACCAAAAGAAAAGGTTATGGCTCGAATTTTTGTTAGTTTACATTTTAACTAACAAAAATAGCTTCTTATTTTCATATAATCACACACAAACACACACGCATGCATAACCAGTGCACACTCAATAGAAAGTTTATCTGCATAGGAATAATCACGGATTGGTTCGAGCTCTTCTGTGACTCGTCCCATGATAATATGTTGTACTGTATATACATGAAATCTCGTCACTTCTTCCCTACTGATAGAGATAGGAAAGTCATCTGATTCTTAAATGTGCTCGATCTACTAATTACAATTTTTCACTCACGTGCGTGATTAAGATTATGAATAGTTATTAGTTAGTTAGGAGCTGTCGCAATTTTTTTAAAATTTATAAAAGTTAGATCACTTGTTTTTAAGAATACTGAGAAAAGGGGCGAAGCTTGAATTGGCAATATATGTTGTCCAATCAATTTTCCTTAAAGCGGTTAAGTGATAATCATGATCAATTAATATTTAATACATGGGATTCTGATGGTAACTTCAAAGTGAAAAAAATTAGTCAAAGATCCAGGGATGGGGGTCCCAAAGAGAAACGGTTCAATGGGGCAAGAGGTCACCGCAGAGGGGGGAAAAAAAAGAAGTTTGAACTTCCAAGAAGGTAGCCAAGACCATGACCAAGTCTTCGTTTCCACGTTCCGCTCCCCCTTGTTTTTATTTATGAACCTTTTAACTTCCCGATCGAACCATTCATTTTTTTCTCGCTGGGTCTAACAAAAAGCACCAACATAGAAGCTTGCCCAGAAATTTACCCGCAAGCCCCACCACCTTTATAATTTGCCCGGTGCAAATGGCAAATTCCAGAAAGCAGAAAGACCTAGAAACCATGGAAGAGGCCACCAGTTCTTTAATACGCCGTGCTTGTGAATTAGCTAGAAACCTAGGATCAAATTTCGCCCACTTAGCTTACCTGCAGCCTGATGTACTGTTGGCGTCCATTGATGAGACAGTGACGACGTTTTCGGCCGCTAGAGAAAGCCTGCGACTGTTTTCCCTACACCCAACTTCTGATTCAACGGCGGTTTGGCCAGTTAGGTCCCCCGGTCATGCACGGCCAATGGATCAGTCGACTCATGATCAAATGCAACAATCAGCAGCAGCAAAGATGCAGCAACGAATGCAAAAGACGAGGTATATAAACCTTACTCAAGTTACTCTTACTATTAACTGACTGAATTCTAATTAACTTGTTTAATGCATATACATATGTCTTAATGTTTACATCGCCGTCTTCTCTTTCACGTCCCCCATTATTGGAAGTACTTTTAGATGACTCAGCTCACACCTCATCTCTCATCCCCAAAAATTGAAAAAGGCCAGGGAAGAAAGGAACAAAGTAGTGGAACGTGCTTCTGGTTTTTGGCCTATGACCTTACTTTAGCATAATATCCGCACTCGATGACTGGTCTGTAACCGAAAGTGCAGAGACTTGTTAAAATATTAGGATAATATTTTCTCAGATCTTTCTTAGTAACGAGGTAAGAACGCACTACAAAGCCGCATACATAACTATGTACTGGCTTTTGCTTGCAGCACTTTTGAGTTATATGAAGTAGCTACATACATATATAAAAAAAGATTTTAGTAATCTGACCCATCAATGTTAATTAATGATTGGGACTATCTGCTAGTTGTATTTGATAGAACATATATTACTGGCGGGATGGTTATTTGTGTTTAATGCGTGTTAAAGTAATAGCAGGAAAAATGAATCGGAGACGAAGACAGTGATGGCACCTGCGCCTAGGTATGGAAACACAGAGATACCGCCAGATGATGGCTTCACTTGGCGAAAATATGGCCAGAAAGAGATTTTTGGCTCTACCCACCCGAGGTTCTGTGTTATACTTTATTAAATTCCTCAACTTGTCAACTAGAGTTACCTAGCAAGCAATTGAAACGCTCAAATTGACCACACGCATGCATATATTATTGAATGGTACTTATAAGTAATTATAAACTTTTCTAATGCTACTGCACTGATATACTCCATAAAACAAATTATCTCAATACAGATAGATAAATAGATAGATAGATATTGACAAATTCAATTCAAAACATAACTTAAGATTCTCTTGCTTTGCGCACATGCATCCAATCATGTGCCATTTATTAATAATTTTTCATGATATGTCTCTTTACATTTCTTCTTGCTAACAACTCGTTTTTCTCAAGTGAAAGTTCAGCAGTACCCCCCATATAATTGACCCAATATTAATTCCCCCAGATTACTTTAGTTAATCTGTTGTTATATCTACTCATACACACATGCAAGCTGGCGTTCATGGCCACACATGTTCAGCAAATTGATGCCACAATTGCACTTCCACTTTTTATGGCAAGTAATAACAACTCAAAACATTCCTCGCATAATTAAAATCCATTCATTAATTTATACAGGCCCTTTTGATTTTACTATTTTTAATTGGTTCGTTTCGTTATTATATAGTTCTATGACTTGTAAATGAGGTTCCACAGCCCAGAAAGAAAGCTATTGATTTAATTTCAGTTGTTGAATCTCTATCAATATATATATACGATTAAATTTTGGTTGACATTCTCTGAACATGCATGAATTATGACAACGCACTAAAATTACAAGACATATATTGCAAGCCCCGCATGCATACATGCATAATGCATATTTATTTTTTTGATAATAATAGAATGCATTTTTTTTTGATAATAATAGAATGCATATTTATTATATTTGTCATTTAAAATTATTGCACAGGGATCAAGAAATGTTAATAATATGTAAAAATATACTCTTTCATAAGACATCTTCAAGAAAAATACATCCCAATAAGTTAGTTAATTGTTTTAAAATTATGTTCTCTTTTTATATTTATCCTTATTTAATTAATATGATATCTCAATTAAGGGTATTTTTAAATTAAAAACTTTATTAATTGCTTCTAATGATACTTCAAAAAAATGTCCTATAATATTAAAGGGATGGAGTGATATACTTTACCAAATTTACCTCTCATCTAGGCCAGGTGAGTATAACATATTATTGTGTTAACAGGAGTTTATTATTTAACAATATGAAAAATATCATTAAATAGAACTTTGGAAGTCTAAAAAGATGGGTAGATAAAAAAAAGTGAAAAATAAAAAAGAGTAAAATTTAACAGGAATACGAAGACGTGTCTTAAATAGGATAGCCTGAAAATAATAAAAAAAAATAAAATGATAATTGAAAGAAAGAAAGAAAGAAACTGAATAGTTGCATATGTTTTGGTGAGCAGGAGTTATTACAGGTGCACCCACCAGAAATCATACAAATGTCCGGCGAAGAAGCAAGTGCAGCGACTGGATGACAACCCTAACACCTTTGCTGTAACATACCGAGGCAGTCACACCTGCATTCTCTCCTCCACCGCTCCCTCCCCCATCCCTCCTCCCCACCTCTTCCTCCATCACTTCAACTCTACTTGACTGGCTGTTGAATACATCTCCCAGACTTGTGACTACTAAAGTACTAATTTATGCTATCATTTAGGCTTTGTATTTGAACACATTAATCTTGTCCAGTGACGTGCTTCATCTTCTTTCTTCCCATCATTCCATCTATACTTTAACATAATTGAATGTGTCGGCGGGGGTGAAGATACGGTGTTAATTATTGTAATCATGGGTTACTTTAATTTGTTATTGTAATCATATTTCTTCCCCCTTCTTTCGTTGGGTCCCCGCACCTCTTCGATCTGGAGCCAACTTCGGAGACACAGAAAAATATCTACTTTCTTTGTTATCGCCCTACTAACTAAAGCCTATTCCCAAATCCTTAAGCAATCATGTTCTGTGCGCATACACAGCGTAAATCCCTCATCTCTGGTATTTTTTTAAAAACATTTTGAGGATGTCTTCTACATTCCCTTTAATTCCCTCAAGAAAGCAAGTCCGAAATTCTCACAAGCGGGCCCAGTTGTTTTACTTACTCGTTTACCGTTAGTTAGAGAGTTTAAAAACGTTAGTTAAAGAGCTTAAAAACGTAACATCAAGCAATTCTGAACATCCATAGCATAGAAGCAACAATGGAGCAGCCACATAAAAGGTGAGAAATTAAAGGAGGAAATTAGTTGAGTAGCTATATATATATAGGCTTTGTCTGATTGACCCTCCGTATACGCCTATGGCTGTACTCCAGGATCTCCACTTTCTAGGCACATCGGGGCCCCACTCGCTCCAATCAATCTTTGTCTTGGTGCGCCACACCCTGTGTGGCTCGTTTTCTACTCACTAAAGTCGAGGGTTTAAAGCTTATCCTATCACTCTTTATATACCTGAGGCCCCACTCCTCACTTCCTCTCCACATCAAATTCATTTCCTCCCGGCTTATTACACCACATACGAACTATACGACACTGATCATACGAGCATACATTGATCTATCACATAATTCACACTTGCGCACCATCCATGTTTCTTGTTTATTTACAAATCTCTTCAAACCTCTTAGCTTCTACACTATACAACTCATTCCTCACACATATATGCATTTTAAGTGCTCCTATGCATATTATCCAAGCTCATTCACTTATTTTTCAGTGAATGTATTTTATAACTCAACGCGTTACACGACACATCTTTCAATCAAACTAACATCTTTCACATACTATATCTTTATTAAAAATTTGATAGCAAATATTCAAATATTTATGTTTTACCTAGCCCTGTCGAGAGGATCAGATTAGTTAAGTGATACCATTGTTTGCTATCAAAATTTTCAATAAACACATAATACATGCAAGATATATATATATATATATATTGAAATACTCGATGTTCAAATGTTGAGATATAAAAACTATTCACTCGTGCATGAGAGTTTTTATTGAAGAGACTGAGCTTGGAATGAAAACACTTAGAAATTAAAATTAAATGCAAACCCAATAAAATACTAAATCACAAGTGCCAAACCCTTGTGGCCAGGAAGCCACGGCAGGATGATGATGTTGATGACTTCAGTGAAAGCTGAGATGATGATCAGTGCCAAAACCAGCAGATTGATCCGCTCCAAAGTCCATAGCGCCCCCGCCACCCGAATACACAGTATCTGCATTATGTTCGGTCAACATCTTCAGAGGCTCCGAAAGCTCGAAGTCCTTGAAATCTGACCACAAACTAGGCTCCATGTTATCTGTTATTTCACTAAGCGGCGTGTCTTCCTTGGGATATTCCTGCTTTATGGTTGGGGTTGATGATGTTGAGCTGATCAGAGGACGACCGTGCGCCTTTTGATCATCGTTTTGTGCCTTAGATTCGACCAGCAGATATGATTCCCAATTACCCGAATCTGAGATGACCATTTCGGGAGCCTTGAGGATGTCTTTGCACGTGTGAAATCCAATGTACGTTGTCAGGAACATTTCTGGATTCTCCTGTATGCGCTGAACCTGTTTGATTGCCTTGCAGCCTTGATCGCGCTTCCTTGTGCACCTGAAGTAACTCCTGCAGGTTAAATGAATAAAAATGAGAATGTGAACTAAACATGATAATGGGTATGATTTCAAAGCACTATAAATTAACACAAGAAGTTACACATAACCACTAAGTACGGAGATTTATGTTTAGTTAAACCATAATTAATAGCAAGTTCTGCAAAGGTTACAGTCCAGAAGCTGCTTGAGTTCCTACTTTAATTAGTATGAATCAAAAAGACAAGTTTCCACTTGCAATTTGCAAAATCCCAGATCGATAATTATTGTCTTGGTGATGATGGTTCTAAACATAGATACATAGATCACCCGGCAGCAAATATTCCTTTCTTCTTCAAAAATAGAAATGCAAAAAAAAAAAAGGAATATTTAACTTGCGCGATATAAAAGGAATAGAAATTAGGAGAGTATAGAAGACCTGGGGAATTTAGAATTAAGGATTTCCTTCTGTCCATATTTTCTCCATGCATGAGCATCCTCAATAGTGTGGGAGATTTTGGTCCATGTATCCGCTGTCTTATTCCTGCAACAATTAGGCATCCCATGCATGTTATTCCATGCCACCACAGTTCATAATCTGCTCACTAGTTCTCATGACCTTTCGTCACAGAAACCCTACTGGAATCTGAATCTTAAAATACCCACACCAATCGAAATCAGCGCACAGGAATTCACCCCGTTCACCTATTCATATCAATCAAAGTCCACCGCCCCACCTCAAAGCTTCAATCTTTTTCTTCATGATGAATAGCTTTGACCGTGACGATTTGGGCAGTGTCCGTACGTGTCCGTACGTGCCCCAAATCATGGTGGTGCCTAATAAGCGAAATCGCTCACGAAGCAAGTTTCGTCGACGGATGGAGTAAAGTAATATGAGAGTCAGGGAATAGATCAGGTAATAATAGTTCGCGTACCTTCTCTTGTAGCAGCCTCTCCGATCCTTGGCAGGCGGCGGCGATCTCTTCCTGCTCTGGCCGGATTCGTCGGGCCTCCAGTCATTGCAGGAAGAAGTTACGAGCGGTGACCCACTGTGACCGGAAATCGCCGAAATCTGACCTACCTCACGGCCAGCTTCGGAGGAAATCAGAATGGAAATACTTTGGTTGAAGGATCTCAAAATTTTGGCGACAAGTTGTTCGGCAGAGGGAGGCCCGTCAGGCCCAAGAGACTTTTGAAACAAAAGCTTGAGCTGGGAAGCGCACTCCTTACCCTCAACGAGCTCACTGATGATACTCTCCTTGTTTGCAGAGACATGTTCGGGACAAAGAGTAGTCATTTTTCTGTGAGGTATTAGCTCGGTGCTTTCTTTGTTATAGGTATTTGGGAAAGTTTTTGTGTTGTGATATTTTTGTTTGGATTTGGAAATAGGGCAACGGCTGGCTGGGGGGTGAGGAGTGGGAGAAGAAGATACAGTTGACGGAGAGAAGCAGTTGAAGGGAAAATATGAGGAAGGACTCGAGGAGTGGCGATGTGAAGGAAAGAAAAGAACAAGATTGATAGGATGACGTTGCCCTTGTGATGCTAGGATGACGTTTCCCACTCTCCTCTCTTTGGAAAATTGATACTGCCACTTTTTTCCTTAAAGGATGATCATCAATCATCATGGTTAAAACTCGGGCCAACTTGGTGTAGCGACACTGTTTGTATTCTTATAATCCTTTCTCTGCTTGCTGCAAGGGGTTCGATGGTCAAATTTTCATGCGGCTAAAGTGGGAAAAATTTGTTTGCGTATGGGATACCCTGCCTCATGGGAACAGGGTTAGTTAGGAGGTTCAATGGAAATTTTGAAATTAAACAAAAAAAAAAGTTAATAGTCACTTTTATGCTTGAATTTTATCTTTTAAATTTATGGGCATCCTAAAGTTGAGGCTGGGTATTTTTTATTTTTGAATGGCTGTTATGTAGGTATTTTTTCCCAATATTAATGCACTTAATGGTGGTTATACAAGTTCCACCATTTACATTTTTTAATAATTTTTACAATAGTTATAGGTTATTATGGTTTTTTTATTTAAAATTATTTTTAAATTAATCCTTTAACCCTACAGTAATATTTTAAAAATTTTTTATCCATATTTTTATTAAATTGCCTCAACAATCCTTGAATAATATTTTTTCAAAAAAAAAATTCAACGGCTAAAAACTGTTATATATTGTGAAAATAACCAAAAAAAAATCCTCCTAAAATATGTAAAATGTGGTAATTTCTCTTAATTTCATTGAGACCTTTTTTATATTATTTTTTTTTTGTAAAATGACTATTGTGCTCCTAATTTAAAATAAAAAAGAAAAATGAATAGAGCAAAACTTATTATTTACCATTTTATTTAATAATTGTCAGAAAAAAATAGTCATTACTTAAATTAAAATAGTAAATAATATTTATAACATTTAAATTTTAGTGATTAAAAAATTTACAAAGAAAAAATTATAATTATTCATCTCATTTTAATCATTATAAAAAAATAATTACTTAAATTTTATTAATAATTAATATTTATAACACTTAAATTTTAATAATTAAAAAATTTATAAAATAAAGCTTGTCATTTTCCATTAGTCACTGTCAAGAAAAAAAAATTATTATTTAAACCAAAAGATAATCATTGCACATTTATTTTTTATTTTAAATTAAAGGCATTGCAATTATTTCACAAATGACATAAACGTCATGACATCATAAGAGATTTGAAAAAAATTATTACATTCTATAAAACTGCATTATCATTTATATATTTTACAATAATTTTTCAGTTATTTTTTCTATATTATTTTAAATAGTCAATATATTTAGAAATAAATATCTTTTTCTCGATACAGAAAAAATATTAATTTAATATATATATATATATATATATTTATTAAAAAATAAGATATTTTTAAATAAGTTTAATACTAAAAAATATAAGATAATTTTAATATTTTAAGATATAATTATTATTTTTTTAAAGTATCCATATTGAATATATTACTTTATACTCCCTCTGTTTCAAATTATAAAATACTTTTAGATAAAATCTCATATACTAATAAAGATTATTAAATACACTTTACAACCTTACTTTTTTAAAATAAAAATATAAACTTTCAAAAATTATCCTTTATTTAATACTTTATTAATTAAAAAAATATTGAAAAGAGAGAATATATGAAAAGGATAATATTAAAAAAGTATAATTAATGAAATTTTATTTTAATCAAAGTGTCTTATATTTTAAAACATTTAATTTTTTTTAAAAATGTCTTTTAATTTGAGACAGAGAGAGTATTTTTTAAAGTTAGTTTAAAAATAAATAACTATTTTATTTAAGGATAAAATTTAGTTAAAAATATTTTATATTTTTTAATAAAAGAAGTATATAATATTAATATGAAACGTTAAAAATCAATCTATTCTAAATATAATTCTTATATATTCTCTCTACACAATTAATAAAGATGTTTGTGCAAACTTTATACTGATTTCAGCAGGAAATTAATCAAGTGTTACAGAGAGATTTTCAACTACCCCTCTTTGAATTCACAAGTTCGGTCGTTTAAAGCGGGGGCTAAAATTAGTTACAGGTTTTTTTTTGATAAAATAGTTACAAGTTTTTTTTGTTATGAATATATTTGATTATTATTATTATTTGTAAAATGAAAATGTAAAGGGTATTGTTATTATAAATTTATATTATATATTATAATTTAGTAGTATCAAACAAACACGTAACATTTTATTTTTCTTTCAATTTCTTAATTTTTATACATCCTATTATTGGTTTTAAAATTTTTTCATCAAGCAAGACGATGTCATGTGTTTTATCAAGTCTCATAATTATATACTCCCTCCAATTTTTAACATGAGACAATTAACTTATTAAAAAAATAGTAGTTATATCCTTAGAATTATTCAAAAATATATAGCTTTTCAATTTTACTCTTCCTTACAATGACTAATTATAATAAATTATAATTTAGAAATTCAAAGAATAATAAATAAATAAAAGGTAAAATTAAAAAATGTTAATTACCCTAACTCTATCATATGTTAGGGATCAGAAAATTTGATTTAAAAAAGACCAGAAAAAGCTTTTAAGCTTGCCCGTATTAAAAAATCTAGGCGGAATAGTTTCTAGTACATTGAATAAGATTTTTTTTTTTTTTTAAAACGGATAGGAGTTTAGTTTTAAATTTGAGCAGGCCTCGGTCTAGAAAAAGTCAAAAAATTTTGGCAGGTTTTATTAATACTGTTAGTTTTGCATGCAAGCCTCAAACAAACTGGCTAGACACTGATCAGTGATTGTTAATTAATACTTCCTCCATTATAAAATATAAAATATTTTTTAAAATTTAAATATTAAAAAATATAAAGTATTTTTAATATTTTAAAATATAATTAATATATTTTTAAAATGTCTTTAATAAATAAATTATTTTATATTTATTTTATAATAAAATGCTCTGTTAAATATGAGTAAATATGAAATGATGGTGTTGGCTTAAAAACAACTAATTATTTTATTAGAAATATGATTTAATTAAAAATATTTTATAATTTTAAATGAAAGCACAGGTAAATAGGACTCATCATCAACAATAATACAGAAAGTGATGTGATTATCTTTGTGTAACGAATCACTCCACCAATATATTTAAGTATATCTATAGTTCTACACAACAACGGATGGCAAAAAAAAAAAAAAAATCTATATACGACAACGAAACAAAACCTTAAATCACTGAGCGGGGAATACAAGTACATCCATACAAATAAAGATTTGGACCCCAGCAATGAAGAAAAAGGGGTGAAAATGAATTTGTATCCCCATGTAATATTCATGATTGGATTGAACAGAAACTTATAACTGGAACACCCAATTGAGTAATTATATTCCATGAAATGCATGCAACTTTGTTTTATTAAAATTATAAAATGACTGGTTTAAATTATTGTCAGTATCATGTCAATTGTTGAAGCAACAAATTGGCTCTGCCAACCTGCCGAGGGCCAACTTGAGAGAGTGCCACTTAACAAGTCACCTCCGTGGGCCTCGGCCTCGCACTGTTTTCAATCCTTACTATACGTTGCGTAACCTTTATTTCATTTTAGTCCATCATTAATTAATTAATTACCCATGGTACGGAACCCCTTTCTCTCTCTATCAGACTTTCTTTCATTGGTCCAAATCGTTTAGATTTAGGGAAAATTCCCAACTTGTTTTCCGCTTCTATTATTTTTCTGTTCGATCCCTTTCTTCCGTGCTGCTTTTTTATTAAATAGTCTCCACTATTCTTATAATAAGGATAAGGACAAGTCAGACAGACTTTTTTCCATTCATGAAACCTGAACATGCTTTTCACGTGAACACGCCCTTACACAGGAAACCCAAAAAAAGAAAAAAAAAAAAACTTGTCAAATTTGCAAGGCAAACCAAACCTAAACATATCTACTCAAAGCCTGCAAATTACTTAATAATATGCCTAACATTGTTTTTTCTAATAAACAGCTTAGCTGGTGTTTGAAATCTACACTAATCCTTTTTTTTTTTGGCCGGCAACTGCATAAAAATGGTTTACTATGAGAATGAAAAGAAAAATGGTCCCTCGACTAAGCTATCTCGATTGAATTAAGTGCTTAAATTTAGATCCTCGAGATTTAACTAGGATCGATAACTTAAATTTTATTTCACTTATTTGATCCTATTTATAAATAAAAAAAAAATTAATTTTGATTCTGTCTTTAGGATACCTCACTATTTCATATGTTCATTTTTACCTCTACATGCTCTTACTAAACACTAAGAAAGATTATTACGAATAATTATTATTGTCCTCATTATGGGGCAGGGATGAAAATTTATTTCAATTTTAAGATAGAATTTATGAGATTTAAAATTTTTCTTAATTCTAATAAACATGTTAAAAATAATTTATAAATAGGATCACATAAAGTAATATTTTATTTTTTTAAATAAAAATTGAACGATGTCTTTTAACTACTCATCAGAAGAAACAATTTTCTAATAATAAATTATTAATTAAACAAAGTACCACAGAATATTGTGCCAGTTAAACCATCCAAATTCGGGCAATCGGCTTCCTAAATATCTCCCGAGTTAAAAACGAATAAAAATGTGACATATCTGATGCGTATATGGATATTCTTGATAAAATCGAGTTTCTAAATTAATTAAGTAAACTAAACGCCAACTTTTTATCACACAGTATAATTTTATATGAATGTTATATGTAATATCGATGTACTAAAATTTTTAGTCTCTTAAATTTATTTCAGCTATCAATTTGATACCTTATAATGTGTTTTGTTCTCTTATTTTTTTAAAATTAAAAAAAAATATAACTTTAGATTCTTACACTTTATTTGAGTCTTGTCATAAGCCTTTGTATTTTTTTAATATTTTAAGTTGTTATAATTTTATTTTTTAATATTTTAAATTTTTCTATAAACAATGTTATAGAAATGAGTAGTAAGGATTATCATCTCTTAAGTAAGTGGTTAAAAGTTTCAATGCCAGCTCTTGTTTTCGTGTACATAGTAATTTAATTGTAAGAGATTTGCCTTTTTTTAAAAAAAAAAAAACCCTTAGGGGAGATAATAATATTTTAGTTTACTCCTTATACTATTTTAAAAAAAAAAACCACTTACTAGTAGCACGGAAGGGAATGAAAGGGAAGGAATGAGCTTGCGATTTAATAAAATCAAAGGAGCGGGGTTAAAAGCTCTTACTTGTTTTTCTTATCAATTAATCTTGCGCGTTCTCTCTGTTGAAACTTCATAACTTCATTGATCAATCTATTTTGAATCAATCTTATTCAAATTTTCCCTTCCAACGAAACAGGAGCGGAACACTCTCTCATATAGCGATGTTTTAGCCCAAAAAAAAGAAATAAGATCAAATTATAACAGGTGGGATTTTGCATGCATCATTTGCCTCATCACTAACTCTATTTGCATAACTTTCAATTTGTAAGGAATCAGCTTCTGCTTCATTAAAATTTAAAAGGTGGAATATCATCTCCTCAAGATTTATTGCCCTCCATGTATGTGTATTATTTTTAATGAGATAAGATTTATCATCAATTATAAATTCTAAATAATAACGTAAATTATATACTATAAAAGAAGGCACAGTATTCACATAGAATGATCACTGATGGAAAACTCGGAATTCCTTTTGACGCTGAAGGTGGAATTTCCCCTATCGTTAACACGACTTCTTGTATTCTTGTTATCATAAAATCTCCAGAGTCAATACACGCTACTTAATTTTGTTGACTTCAAATCATTCACACTCATGATAACTTTTTCTTCTGGTGACAGTGATGACGAAATTTGAGGACGTGTTATTATTGTTATTGCGATTGGTCAAACAGCCAAGGCATCATAATTAAATATATTTAACTACTAATAAATTCACTCCCTGATTTCAATGTACAGGGAGGTAATTGGTGATGAACATGTTTTGATGGGCCTGCTTTCGTTCAACCTAGCCTGGTTGTTAGATTCAGGGCTTTGATCTTTTTGGGCCGAACATTTAAGGCTTTAGTTCCGTTTTTTTTGGGGGGGGAGGGGGACCAAAGAAAGGTTCTCATGGAAAAAGGGACGATTGATTCCTCCAAATTAAAATAATAATAATAATAAAAGGTTTGTGAGGGATTCATTTTCATTACAGAATTCTGAGATGCGAAAATGTCCGAAAATTTTGGATCTCCTCTTTCGCCAAGTGACTTTCCTCGCAGGCTTTCTTGAAGCAGTTGTGAAGAAATGATTTGTATTGACATATTTTCTTAAATTTTCTTACTGGCTAGATAACTCGATAATTTCCCCTACACAGCTTTATTTTTTAAGCTATTGTTAAAAGGAAAATAATTTGAAGTGTAAAAGTTGCTGGTATCTTAATTTTTTTCTTACAATCAAATATTTATGTTTTACTTTTAAATTTAATTGGCATTTTTTACCCTATCTAAATGCATGAAACTTGGTAAAATTTCTCCCCAACATTACAACCGGTTACAATGCGTGTTCGGGGCTTGTGAACTGGAGAATTATAGAAATAATAAGGGTATCCGTGCGTCGTTAGATGTTTGTAATTTTAATACAGACCACTTGCCCTTTTGATATCAGAGGAGTGTGTTAAGAAAAACTCCCTTTTGTTCAAAAATTAATTGCAAAAAGGGAAAGAAAACGACAAGGATGACTTGGTAATGGAGCTTTGTATCAATTCACCCGCAACTCCAACCGTCCGATCTTTCCTCAATTGCTTACATCTCTCGCATATATACCTACCTTACCCTCTTTTTGCCCCTTTCTTCTCTTCCGTTCCTCATCTCTTACACTGGCGGTCTCCCCTTGGCCGCAGGAGACTTCCGCTGGAGACTTCATTCTGGTGAGTTTTCACCGTCTCTGCTCATTTTCCGTCTTATCTCGCGCCTTTTATCATCGATCTGCTTGCTTCTTGTGCCCAGGAGAAACTATTCACTTTTAGAGGTCTTCCATGGAGAAGGAACTGGTCGGATTGTATGACACGGTAAAGAAGGCGGCAGATTTGGCGAGCTCAACCGATAGCGAAGTTGAAGAAAGCCGATGTCTTGATGCGTTCGAGCAGCTTAAGAAATTTCCCGTCAATTATCAGATTCTGGTGTCCACCCAGGTGCTTCTTTTATTGATTTCTTTTTTCTACAATTTAATTTTTTTTAACCCATTTTTCTATGATCTTGGCTTGATGGGTATTGATTGGTCACACTTTCTGGATGAAGTTGCATGCAATTTAAGAGAGTATGAAATCTGATTAATTGTGAAAGGGGGCAATCAGCCGCGGTCTTGTTCACCACTCACCAGACCGGAAATTGTAAGAGAACAAGGGAGATGGTGTTGGTAAAGTCGTGTCATTGGTCATGCATCTTATATTTGTGAGAGATACAGGCATATAGCTGTTAACAACAGATAGCGTAAGTGAGAGCGAAAACTGTGACGATAACAGTATTTAAGTGTCAAGGTAATATATATGCGCGCGCATCTCAGGCCTTGTAGGTAGTGCTGTGGGAGGAAACGTTCTTGGGGAGCAGAGTGCATATACCGTGGAACTGGGATGCAGTTTTCGATTTTACTTAATCTATCTGGTAGGAGACGCTTTAGCTAGCCTTTCATGGGCCGATAGATTAGACTGTTAATTCGGGGCATGTTTTAGTTTGAATTTGAAGGAGGAAGTCTAAAGTTGCTGGTTATTTTATTGAACCATTGCATATGTTTGGTTAGAAATGGTTGCAACAGTCTAGTTTAATAGTTGGTAGGTTGCTGGATAATTAATCAGGCCATTTAAATTTTCTTATGCTTGGTCAATTGGACAATTGCATCCCATTTGATCTATAGCTTCATGTGCACATATAAGAACAGCTGATTTATAGGATTGGTAGTGATGCATATGAGGTTCTTGTTGCCCTACTCTGTAGGTGCAAAGAATCATTTGAGTAAATCAAGTTGCTGCGTCTTGCAACTGATAGTGACTGAGAAGGAAAACAGAACTATTAGTGTCTTAGTTGGATTCTTAAGCATATCTATTAAAGAAATCTGAGTATCAGTTTATGTCAGTTTAGCAAGAAGGCTACACCTGCCCTTTTTTTAATCATAACAGTAGCAAACTGGCAATTTTTCATAGGTTTTCTGAACCAAGATGTTTTAGATACATCTGTAGGTGACATTGGACGTGACGTTTGTCCATGGGAAACGTAAAAGAAAATTAAAGCTCTAGAGCTTAAAAATGAGTATAAACTAGGAAGTATCAAAGAGGAAACAAGTGGTTAGTGTCATGTGATATCTTCATACTTACCACATAGGTGATCCAAGAAAAATACTAAAGCGCTGAAGCATCTTTGCTTGTAAAACCTGAAGAGAAGTGTTTACAACAATAGGATAAATTGGCCTATTGGCTGAAAAGGCTGAAAAAAATTTTATGCCCAAAAAATATAGACCAAATTTTTGAAAATTTGGAAATGTAGCCAATTCACATTGGTATATAAGGAGTTTATTATTGATATACAAGAGATTTATTATTAAAAATTTGAAAGTTTACAAGAGATTTATCATTGATATGCAATAGTATATCATTGACAAATAATAAATCAGTCATAATGCAAAATATAATAAATGTTGAGCTATTTGCTTGTTTTGGTCCTATAATATAGGTTATATCTGCAAAAGTTCTTTTAAAATATGTTGAAAGTATGAGGCAGAGTTCTTTATCAAAGGCACATTAAGGTTCTGTAATTTTGTTTTTTGTTCGTAGTGGACAATGTTACATCCTCGTCATGTGATGGCATCCACATAAATCAACATTATTTAATCTCTATACTTTCATCATTTAGCTGGATAACTCGAAGCTTGATTTGATCTTATGGCTTTTTCTTAACTAACACAGGTGGGTAAACATCTAAAAGTTCTAACGAAGCATCCAAGAAAGAAAATCCGGGCTTTTGCTATTGACCTGATTGAGATATGGAAAGACATTATTATCAAGGAAACAAGCAAAAATAAGAATGGGAGCTTACATAATAATGTTGAGTTGGCAAATGGGGAGAAAGCTAAAGTTGAGAAGGTTCAGAAGACTCATTCGGTAAAGGTTGAGAAGGTTTCAAAAGCTGACACTGTCAAGATTGAGAAAACTGATAGGAATGGGACATCAAGCTCTGAAAATGTAAAGAAGGAACAATTTTCAGATGTCAGAAGTGAGAAAGCTGTTTCTCCGGCAAATGTTAAGGTAGAAAAAATGGCCAAGGATGAGAAGCAACCTTCTGGAGTGAAGAGGGCATCCTCAAGCCCTGCTGCTCCACCAAAGCTGAAAACTATGATTAAATCGAATGATGTGATGCGAGACAAAATAAGGGAAATTCTGCAAGAGGCATTCTCTAAGGTTTCTGGAGAGGCTGATGAAACAATCATGGATCAAGTAAATGCATGTGACCCTATTCGGGTTGCTGTTACAGTGGAGTCTGTACTATTTGAGAAATGGGGTCCTTCTAACGGGGCTCAAAAAGTCAAGTATAGGTCCTTGATGTTTAACCTCAAGGATCCAAACAACCCAGATTTCCGGAGAAGAGTTCTGCTTGGAGAATTTGCGCCAGAGCGACTCATCAACATGAGCACGCAAGACATGGCTAGCGATCAAAGGAAGCAGGAGAATGAGAAACTCAAACAGAAAGCTTTATTTGAGTGTGAGCGTGGACAACAACCAAAAGCCACGACCGATCAATTCAAGTGTGGTAAATGCGGTCAAAGAAAGTGCACCTATTACCAAATGCAGACCCGTAGTGCTGATGAACCTATGACAACCTATGTTACGTGCGTTTCATGCAATAACCGGTGGAAGTTCTGTTAGGGTAGTTAGTCTAGTGTCTCTCAATGGAGAGCTATTGTCATGATTTGTTATTAATTGGCATCATTTAGAGGTATAAAAGTGCGAGTTTCAGGGTTTTTTACTTCAGCCGTGTCAAATTTTATACTCGAAACTATAACATGTTTTATTATGCTCCTATATGTATTTTTATTAGTTTATCTACTTAGAAGTGGACTTTCTAATTCATTAACATTTGTTTTCCATCAATTCGTGGCCGATGCATTTGGTAACATTTGACAAGTCCTGCTGAATAATCAGATTCCAAGGGCCTGGAACTTTGTACAAGTGTTTGTTTGGCAGACCAAGGACTAGTTATATGTCAAATTTGCTTCCCTGGTGTAATTCATCCGATTCTACACTCTCAAATGCACACCAACTTACCGTCATCATTTGGAAAACCTGAATGTCATGAGTTCCGCATTTTTATAGGTAGTGTGAAATTTATAAATTTAAAAATTTTTTTCATCCAATAGGTTAATTTTTTAGATGAATTCTCTTTTTAGATTTGTGCTTGTTTCATTGAATTACTCATTTAGTTAGTAGGAATTCAATTGATTTGAGTTCTCAATCTCATGCTGGCAATCTTTTTATAAATTTGAAAGGAGACATGATTTTGCAAAAACTCGTTAAGAATATGGATTTCACGCTTTCAAATGAGGAGCTAATAAATATGCCAATCAAGTCAAAGAATGTGCTTATGATATATGGAAGGATAATTTTATTTTTATATTTTCAATGACCCACTTTTGCCTTGCAAAAGATTTTGAGGGAACTAGACAAATAGAGTACATGTTCTTCTTTGTTTATCCTTTTTTCCCTTAAAAATGTGTGGGAAATTCATCATGAAATCTCATAGAAACATTTAAAATACTCAAAAATCTCAAGAAATCACTAAATATTAGTTAGGTTTTAACGACTTGGACGTGAATAAGTTTTTTTTTTTTTTTTGTAAATTGACTAAAATGTCCCTATTTGAAAAAAAGAATTGCGCTCAAACGAACTCTTGGAACCCCACCTTCTTATTGTTCTTATGCCTTGTGCCTTCTTTTCCCAGCCTTTTACACATTCATAATTCATCGCCACTGTAATCTAGTGAAACGGATGCCAGGGAATTCGAGTTTACTTGAACACTCCGTCCGACATCGGAGACACACGGAGGAGGAAGGTGGCGAGCTTGTCTCAGCCGGAGATGTTAACCGAAATATCACTGGTGGCTAGTGGCCTCCAAAGGTGTGACTAAGGCTTTGCTCGAGATAAGGTCTCGCATGGATGCTGCTTTCAGGTAAAGAAATGATCCTTTTGTGGCATGTTGTAGTTAATTCCAGTTGATTATGAAAAGTAAAAGAAGCACGAGTCCTAAAAGAAAGACCCGATTTTTGTAAGCGGGTAAAGATATAAAGGTTTGTAGCACTACTAATTGACATTTGACATTTAAGTAAATAAGCAGGTATTAAATCTTGATTAATTAAAATGAGGTTAGGTACTGAGATGTAAGTAATCGTCATAATTGAGAAAGTGTTTGCTGAGGCAGGGGCAAGACCTAGGTATAGCTTGGTGTATAGTGTAACATTGGACTGTTCCGAATGGAGAGGTGTGCCAGAGAATTTATTATTGATTGCTTGTTATATTTGGGGGATTAAACTAGCAAAGCAAAGAGTAGCTAGGTAGGTGTACATAGTGAAGCAAAGTCCACCTTTGGGAACAAGTTTCCAGGTAGTTATTTTCCATTCGTTGCTTCCTGTTCGATAAAAGTCCCCAGAGAATGTTGCAACATCTCAACCTCTTAAAAATTATGGTTTGACTTTTACGAGAATGCTTCTTGTATTGTATGGTTTTTACATATCTGTCTATTCAAATTCATATACACATATATAGTTTTGCACTCTTCGAGTTTATTTTGTGAAATGTGAATTGTAACGTAATTTTCCTTTTGAACCTACTCGGTTACTGATTTTCCGCTTTCTTTTGCATTAGAAGCATTGTCTTTTTTCTCTGAAGACCGTTGTCGAATTCCAGTTTTCGCACTGATTGTTACTCTTTTAAATTGATCTATTTTTTGTAATGGTTGAGAGTTTTTAATTAAATGTAATGATTATTTTGGAACTGTTCAGGAGATTAGGAAAAACCAGAAGAAGCCTTAGAGTTCTAAAACATGTCCTTATTTTCAACAGCTGAATCCTCTGTATAATAGTGAAAAGCCTAATGAGAAACTGAAGGATTCATCCGGTTCTGATAAGGATCAATTAAAGCCTGAGGAGCTACTAATGCATATAATGGAGGGTCAGTTTCAGTCCTCATTAGAGGATGCTGATTGAGGAGGAGGATCAGAATAATGGAGGAAGTGGGGTTACCTTTTGTGGGGTGTGCTAGGAACTTTTTTTCGATAAAAATGCTGGGAACTTTCTGGACTCATTCATTTTGTATAGAACATTTTGGGAAATTCTAATATATGTGATTACGAGAATGTTTTAATTGTTAGTAATAATTATATCTTTATCACGTATTGACAAGTAGTTAATAGTGATTGACAAGTTGCCAGTCGTTATTGGCAAGTTCTCTATACCATTTGTACGTGTAAAAATTTATTAGGTGAATGATAATATGGTAAAGAGTCATGACAAGTTAGTCGTTAAATATCGACAAGTGCTAATTTATTAGATGAAATAATTTCTTTTAAAACTACACAAGTTATAAAAATAATTTATTGACAATGAGTATTGTTATTTTTATTTGCCATATTGTCAATGGCTGCTAATAAATTGTCACTTGTCACAGGTAGGGACAAATCTAGAAATGAACACATGGGAGCAAAATAAAAACTACTTAAAATATGAGGGTTTAATACTAATTTTTACAAATTTTACAAGCAAAATAAAAAAATTTCAAAAATTTCCAAAGGACCAATCAAATTGTTGGGGCTTCCCCATCCTCCCTATATATGTCCCTGGCTCACTTGTCATCAGCCTTCACCATATGGTTAATGATCATTGTCAGGTTGTTAATAAAGTATTTTATAACTTGTTCAATTTTAAAGAAAATCATTGCACCTAATCAATTATCAACTGCCATTGGCTGATGCTTTGTAACATCTTAATTTTTAGTTATAGATTAATTGTGAAAATTGAGGTTTTGATTGAGGAAATATGTATGATTAGGTTTGATATTATTTTGAGGTTTAATTTAAAGAATAAACTATAATTGAGGTTATTTTAGTTTAACAATGCAATTGGGTATATAACTATGACTTAAATTGAGCCTAGGATGATAGAGTAGGGTTAATTAGGGTTTAAAATAGGTTTTAGGCCGGATTTAGCCTAACAAGTGTGGGCTTAAGTGAGAGGGCAGTTTTTGTGCCATACACCTTGGCGTATGGGGTGTCTACCACAACGCACAACCAAAAAAAATTTAAACCATCATTCTATCATTTGACAAAACAAATGAGGGACAAGTGGTGAGATTTACGTGCAAAAATTAAGGGGCTCTATTAGGGCATTCAGTTCCTACAGGTTGAAGCTTGGTTTTGGTGCATTAAAGGCTTGAGGTAACCTTCCTAACTTAGCTTCTACCTCATACTCTTTATTTCTAGCTAGATTATGCAATGGGTGAGCTAAGGTTTTCATTTTTTGGGTACTCAGCCATTAGGTTTGAATCATATAAGTGTTTTAAAGCTATAAAGTGTAGTTTTAGTTGTTATAATATTGTTTATGATGATAGGGGTATGGAATCCAAAACCCTAAGTTTGGTAGACGAATTTTGATGAAGATTAGGTTGTTGTTGAGTTAAATATGAATGATATAAGTATAATAATGAGGATTACGAGTGCATTTAAAGGATTAAATGGAAGTGACAACTTTAGGTTAATTAGATTAATTAACCTAACTCTAGGTTTATGGTATAATCAATGTGTAAACACTTTGATTAGTCATGATTAGCAATTTTATTTGCAATAATTAGTGCTATATTGCTTGTAGATTGTGAAATTGACATTGTTAGTGGTGATGGTGCACTTGTGCGGGGAGCTATTGTAATAAGGAGCAAAGATAATCAATATTAATGTGTGATTTTATGTGTTTTGTAATTAGTGCTATGTGTTTTTTTGATGTGTTTGGGAAATTTAATTGTGTTTGGAAAGCATGTTTGGTGTTTGAAATTGCTCAAATTGGATGCTTGTATTAGAATTTTACTCGTTTAAAATTTAGAATTTTCTATTTGCTATCAAGCGTTGTGCGCTGCCGTGCATGGAACAAAGAGGGGGTTCCTTCTCTATGCCCTGCTCCCTCACGCATGTTGCATACGCCGTAGCACATGGTGCACCTTTGACAGAAATGCCATTGTCTTTCTAATTTTTGAAATGGCCCCTTTTAACCTTTTTATCTCTTTTTAAGTTCACTTATGGACAAATAAGCCTCTGAAAACCATGCTTCACTTTTAATTATTCCTCTTCATCATTTTATTGATTTTAAACTATTGGTTTTCAACAGGATCCCATTAGGTACAAACTAATCAACTTAGTATTCCATTTATTACTCCTTATTTATATTACTTGCTTCTAAATTTTCCATGGTAAGTATATTTTGATATGTTCAATCTTTTCTACCATGGTAATCCAATTTAAGAAATGTTTTTATATAAAAAAGACTTTCTCTACCATGATAAAGTTTCATAAAATGATTTTGATCTTTACTTATCATGGTAACATCTTTTCTACTATGGTAAAATTTAAAAATAATATCTAAAGCTCTTTCTACTATGATAAAACTTTATTTACCATGGTAGTGTTTTGTAAAAATTAAGTTTTCTCTTTATTATTATGATATATACTTTTCTATCATGGTAATTATTTAATAATAAAGGTTTAATTATTTAATAATATTTTCAAGAAAAATATATACAAATTTTAAGAGTTTTACATGCCTCACTTGTCTGGCTTCTGTCCTATGGTCAATATCTGTTGTCAAGTTGTTATTGGTGTCTAATAACTTGTTTAGTTTTAAAAAAAACTATTGCACCTAATTAATTTTCACTTGTCATTAAACGATACCTTACCTGTCATTAGCTTGTACCATGTGGTTAATAAACAATGTCAACTGTCAATAGAATATCCTGTATTTTTAGTTTAATATGAGATTTTATTGCCTCATAAATTGTTACATGTATCTTATGGCCACTTGTCAACATATGATAAACAAGTAAATACATAATTACCATTCAAATTTCAAAGAAACTTATAATCATAATTCTTATTGACATTTACAAAGTGAATTATACAAAATGAACTAACATGTCACAAAAATCCATACATGATTATCAATCAAGTTTTTATCTTAAAGTCAATCCATGACTCAACTAGCCCTTCTCTATTTTATCTTGCTTTCTTGGGATCCTGCTAAGAGGTAAAAGAAACTTTGTTCTCCTTTACATTGTTATAATGATTCAATATCCACCACAAGCATTCAACATTCTTCATGCGGATGTCTTCTGTCACCACAAATCATTCTTAAAGACACACAGCACCTTAAAATCACCACACCTAATAATCAAATTTGTCTATCAAACAAGCTCTATTGAGCAACCTTAGCTCTAAAATGGTTGAGCCGAGCCGAGCCAAACCACACAACAAATATTAAAAAGAATTTCTTTTTCCATATAGGTAGGCTCTAATTCATAATCCTACCATTTTGAAGAGAAAGCATGCTTACTGAATATAAATATACAACCATTATTAGCATTTCCTTGATTAAGATAAAGAACATTGATCAAGAACATAATACACATTACACTTGAAGTAGTGAGATAAAAAAGATGGAAAAAAATCCAGAACTCTAAACTATCAAATTTTTCTGACAACTTGCATAAACAATAGCCTCAAATTGCAGTTTGGGGAATACTTTGGCTTAACTTGGTTTCCACAGCACATGATTTCCATGTAAAACTGACTAGTAAAATGAAAAATCCAACTGAGAATAAAATTGGATGAACTAACAGCTGCACTACACATTATTAAACAAAGACTTATTCACGCACAAGTATACATCAACACCTCAAGCAACTTCACTTGAGAATGCCAAGGGGCAGAGGATGCAGATAAATTATATCAACTACAAAAAATTTAGGTGTCACTCCAGTTATCATCATCTTCTCCCGTTCTCCGTCATCACGAGAAAAAACCTGGAAAGATTATCAGTTATGAATTATGATAATAAGTTGGTCATGAAAAAAAAAAATAAATGCTGAGACTTGCAAAGGAAAGGAATTATGAAAATAAACACTACTACACTAACGTAATAAAGATAACTTGTCCTGCAATAATACTTCCAAATGTCAGAAAGTTATACTAACCCCAAAATTCTCCTTTGAAAAATAATACATACATACATACATATATAAATATCTATGGTTATATGCGTACATGCTCTATTATCTTGGTATGATAAACGCCACAAGAGACAAGAGAATTACGATGTTTGGGTATGGGAGAGTCAGTGGGTAGCTACTTAATTCTGGAGTTGATAATTATTTGACAGTTTCTAAATTCCCACAATTTCCTTTCATTTCTTTTAACTAATTCTAATATAATCCCTACAAAATTGGAGCCCAATAAAAATAACAATCATCAGAAATTTCAATTCTCCCTTCGGTGAAGCATGGAGAAGAGAATAGAACAGACTTGTACGAAAAATGACTGTGAGAACGAAGACATGGGCACGAAAATAAAAGGACAAAGAAACGAACAGCGAGAGAAGAAAATGGAGAATCAAATGCCTGGGGTAAGGTGGTGGCGAGATGGCGCAAGAGGATGGCGGATGAAGCCATCGTCGTCACTATCCAAAGCTGCTGTCGCCGTTGTCGTCAACGTTCGAACCCGCCACGAATTAGGAACCAGGACACATGACACCAAGAGACGATCGGTGGGCGAGGAACTTTTGGGAGAGGCAAGCTTTCCGAGTGAGTTTCGTGGGTCTTCTCCAGGGCATACTTGGGCGGGTTTCCAGAGTTCACTCTCTTATGTTTCAAAGTATGGGTATTTTACTAATTCTATCAACAAACTCTCTCAAGTTTCTTGTATCTGACAGCTATTTAACAATTCCATACTCCTCCGTCCTATTTATAAATTATTTTTATCAATTTTATTAATATTAATATAATAAAAATATACAAAATAAAAATAAATAAGATTTTAAACATAACTCTCAAATAAAAAATAAAAAATAAATTAATTATATAATATTATTTTTTTGTTTAGGCTGAAAATTTCAATTTAAAATAAAACAGTCTCATCAACAAGTAATTTATAAAATAAATCAGATCATTTTTTCAAAAAAATGATTAATATATTGAACCTGAGGAGTAAAACCTTTGGTATTTTAAATGTTTGAGTGAGATTTTCAAAATGTTTCCCCCAATCTTTTTTACTTTTTTCTAAAAGAAAATAAAAACCCTTTAAATGGTTGCTCTGGATTTGACTACGGATCAGAAGCCTGCATGGCACCTTTCGAGCCAAGTGAAGTGATAGAGTGACAGGTGGCTGAGTCCATGCGCCCAAGTTCGTTCCTATGACGGCGGCACTTCTTGCTAGCTACAATCTGCATTAATCCAAATTGTCTCCCACAAGGCAGAACCCGAGGCTTGGCATTGTCGTCAAAAATAAAAATACAATTTTAGTGGCTATAAACCTATGACAGAACTTAACTAACTGCACAAATTAATTAAAAATGGTTGAAAAAAAAAAAACAGTCGCAGGTGGTAAAATTCATCGGCCATTCTATATTAATATAAAATATAGAATTTACAACAAATTAAGCCATCTTATTTTATTGAAATTTGAAGTTGACACATCACATGCTTCAGCATGAAAAGGAACGATCTTTATTACACTGATGTCACCTAATTGAAAAAGTGAAAACAAAAATATTCTAATATGTACAGTATAAATTAATTTCTAAATAAAGAAAACTAATTTTCGTTGCATCAATCTACAGAGAAAACCTACAAAATCCCCCACCCCTTTGTGCTTTGCAACTACAAAAGTTAGTTTTTTTTTTTTTTGGCAACCCAAAAAATTAATTTCTAAACAAGGCAGAAACTGCTATTGGTTACACTAATCTACAGGTAAAACTAAATTTTCCCTCGCTACTTTTGTGCTCTGCAACTTCTTCTGCCTCTTAATGCCGCCAGGAAACGAAACTCCTGTAAAGTGCAACGATTCCATCTTTGAAACGAAGAAAAATGCAAGAGAAGTGAATCATGCCCTTTGTTCATTAAGTCTCCTCTCAGCAGCAATAGCGGCGGCCATTGAAGGTGGCAAGTGCCTTAAACTTGCAGCGGAATTTTCATCACTTTCTGATCTCGTTAATGGAGCTGTTGCCAACAAGGTTTCAACATCTTTCAGGGTCAACATAGTCTGGTCTTGATTTTTCGTGTTACCGCTGATGACTGAATGGCTAGCCCTGCTCCTGTTCAGCTTATATATGCTCTCTTCAACTGTGTCTTTCACCTGAAATTGCGCAAGAGAAGGTTAGGACAATTCTTAATGAACGGGTTCGTTCCCAATAAAACTTGGTCCAGAAGCAAGAAAGGTGCAGATGCACTCATTAAGTCCATGATTTTGACATCAAAATAGAGCTAGTTTAACGAGTTTCACCTACAAATGCATTGTCAGAAGATGAAACGAATTATATTTTGAACTTTCATGTAGATACAATTGCTTGAGGCGATTACCCACACTTCAATTTTAGGAAAAAGTATAATCTAATCAATGGAACTGCCGAATAATTCCTGAGCATTCCGACGCAAAAATCACACGGCACACCACTATCATCTCAGCAACTACAGTTCTGAAACATTGATGAAGTGAAAATGAATTTGCTTACTTTATTCATTGATGAAGTGGGTACATACAGAGTACATGAGTAAAGAATAAATTGAATATCTGAAACTAATTAACAAACTAACTAATTTAAGTTACACTAACTAATATATCTAATATTAAGTGTTGAAGCAATTTCGCAGCCCGCCCGCTGGGGGTGGGGTGCAACTTTATACAATTGTAGACTACAGGCTTGAAGCTTATACTTCTTACTCTGACAATGTTCAGTCCTCTAAAGATGTTAATAGCTGATATTGAGTACGGAGAATTAGTTGATCGACAGACACTGATGAATTTCAGTCCTCTACATATACCATTGCTTGCTATGAATACTTCACTACCACTTACAATGAAACGATGAATGAGAGTCTTATTTTTCTGCCCAATTCTATGCACACGACTGATTGCTTGTGCTTCAGCAGCAGGATTGAGTAATGGCTCCACAAGGACCACATGCTGTGCTTCCAGAAGATTGAGGCCATTAGCTCCATGTTGAATCAAAATTAATAAAACCTGAATAAATTTTGATGTCGATTCCTGGGATGTTCCTCTTTCGTCATTTTGCTGCCCTTTAAATTGACTGATGGCAACATGAGATTTTCTGAACATAGAAATTCAAAACCAGAATAGCACGAGCATAAGGAACTTCCTGGAATAGTATGTGGGTAATAGAACGATCAAAAGACAAGTTTCCGTATGTGGAGTAAGTATTTCTATTAAATTTCAAACAATTGCTGAATGCAGCATAAACTTAATGTTTGTTGGCTAAAAAAGGCAAAAGCTCATTTTAGAGAACGTACCTAACAATGTACAAGAATGTCTTATCTTTTCATTTATCAAAATAAAAATACCAGTCAATAATACAGTATCCCTAGTCCCTTCACACTTGGGGTTTCTTTTCCTAATAACATTGAAAATTTCAGTGACTCAGCAATTTTTGACATGGTAAAACAAATATTAATTATTTCCAGTTTATTATTGATCAATCACATGAATATTTTCTTCTTTCCATATCCTGTCAATAATTTCCTTTAAATCTCTTCTCCTAGTCCTGCAAAAACACACAAATATTCAAGTGTGCGTGTGTATACTATCAGGTAGCATATCTGACCTGCCTCCTTTCATCCGAATGTAGGTGATATTATTGACAGCAAAAGCATGTTCCAATACATCAAGAACATCATTCCAGCTAGAAAACACGAGGACTTTTGCTTTAGGGTCTGTAGACTTGATCCACAAGATTCTTTTAGTGACTGCTTCAATCTTTAAAACACCCAAGCCAAGGAAGAGTAGAGAAATAGACGTTAGATAAAACCAACATAAATTAATTATGCGTGCAAGTGTTTTGAGGGGCAAGGTAAAAGAATACACATTATATAAAAACAATAAGCCCACACGCGTCCTATTTGAATATGAAAATTACATGGATGACAAGCTGCAGGATATGATATGAATTTCATTACTCATCCTATAAGAAATACTGTCTAAAATCAAATCATCAAAAAAAAAAAAAATAGAAGTCTTTTTTTCCGAGAATAATCTTGAAATTTCATCCTTACCACAAGTGGTAATTAGATTGTATTTCATTAACAGCCATAAGAAAGAAGTTTCCACCATTCACCTCTTTAGGATGAAACTGAAATTCATTCCTTTGATCAAACATAATGTTGTTACACATACATCTTATCTCGATCTAAATTTAAAATTTTTATCGACATGAAATTAAAATTGAAAGGTTAGGCATATGAACACATAAAAGAAAAGTCCTGGAATTTGTATACGCTTTGTTCAAAGACAATCTCAATTTTCAAATGTTAGTCTTCTATACACACTAGTTTATTTAGTATATAGAAATATGTGACAGCAAATAACAAGTCAATGAGACACCAGATACACATTTGAAATTATAAACATGCAAGCACCGAAGAAAGATGCTGCAAGTAGATGCCCGCAGTAGAATCGAGAGTGCATGGTTAGCGCATGTCTGAGGCTGTTGGTTAGCGTATGCCCGTTGATTGAGGCACGTGATACACCACCTTTTTAGTTAGCATGGCATTATGATTAATCTGTCTCTTGCTAGCACGTTAAAATTAGTAATTCCGTTCAGGCTTGTATGGTTCTTAGTGTTTGAGTTATATTTAATCTTTTATTTGTATTTAGATTTTCCCAATATTTTTGGTTTACGATTGGATAGCTTTGGTTTGAATTTTAGCTATTTTTGTGGGACTTGAATGTTGGCACAGAGTTGGTTCATTTCTTTAAAATTGTACACATTCATTCTTCCTAGGGCATTGAAATCTCTGAAGACCTCCAAAGGGAAACAATCTAGATTAGTTGTTAAATAAAAATACCTTAGTTCCGTAGGAACCTTTAACGCTGATGGATGATTCACATTTCTCACTGTTGTCAACATTCTGCAGCACAGAAGTTTTGAAAGATTCATGCTGTCTATCAACAGCATATGCAATGTTACCAAAATCAGTGTGCTGTCGACATGTTGGACACATAACCCATTTATGAAACTTGCTATTTTGGAGCCTTTGCTCTGTCATAGCAAATAAACCTGTAGAAGATAGAAGCATGGTTAAGTTTGAAATATTTATGATGCTTATTAGAGGCAAAAAAAAGCTAAACTTAAGGCTATCAAGCAAAGCAGAACAAAGGTAACAACATAAAAGTCAGTACTTTTGCATTGTTTCAATTCACAGAAAAACATGTAAAAATAAATGATACTTCTACATATCTGCTTGCAAAAAGTTCATTAACAAGTGAACAAGAGAGGTTTCCTATGTTATGCAAACACGATGACCACAGAATTTCAACACAGAAGGATCACGCAGGCATCTGCAATTGGAAATGAGTAAAATATGATATTATAAAGTTTGGTCATTAAGTAATTACATTTACAACATGTGACATGCCCACACTGAAAAACCATTTTCTGGCTGCCCAGCTTTTCTTGGCAAACTGGGCATGAATCCTCATCAGCTTTAGATGCAGGCATGCATTTCTCTTCTGTGAAATTTGACATTGCAGTAGCCACCTGAGTAAATGAAGAACTTTCTGCATGCTCCAATGGCCGTTGTTTCAATTGTACCAAACCCTGAAAAAAATATTCAATTTAGGTTAAATTTCTGGGGGGGGGGAAGCATAAGGATTAGCAAATGATGACCAGCTATTTTTACAGGTTGATTAGCAAATGACAAAGCCAGAAACTTTAGAGAAATCTCCTTTCTTATTAGGAAGACAGATCTACATAGGATAAGTAGTAGCAATTCTACTAATCAGGCCCCAGATACTTTAGACTCATCTTTACGATGGCCTCTACTAATAATGCAAAACACACACACACACACACGCAAAACTGAGAACTTAAATAGGAAATAAAGTTTTCCATAAGTGACTTCCATCTGACCATTCATAAGATCAAGTAATGAAAATATTTAGTCAAAGAAGATATCCATTAGAATGAAAGAATATGTAGCTAGGCATCAACAGAAGAAATTGTAAGGATTTTGCTCCATACCTTTAAGTAGCGAAGTTTTCCTTTTACTTGTGACAATGAGGCCAAAGACAAAAACTTATCATGGGAAAAGTTTGAACTTGCTGCACATAATTCATTTTCACCTAAAGCATCAAGAGACTTGTCATTTTCATTTGCCTTTAGGTGCAACCGGGAAACTGCCATCTTAATTTCATCATGGGCACGCAGATATTGAGCTTGGGCTAAAGCCAAAGACCTTGCATGGCCAAACTCCTTTCGCATACCCTTGAAGACCATAGAGCAAATGACCAGATTTCAGTGAATTCAAGATGCCAGTATAAATAGAGTCAACTAAGTATCATCATTCTTCTGATTCTTAGGGGCGGGGGGATGAGGAGGTATCATGTCTTGGGTGGAGAGAGGCAGGGAGAATAATTTTTGCAGAAATAATTTATCCTAGTGGAATTTGGTGAGGCAATTCAGCTATAAATATGTGTAGCAGATGCTCTTACTATACCTCAAAAATATGTAAATGTTTGGTGGCTGTTGAAACACTATCCTTTCCCAACCGAGCTTTGCAATAGGTCTTTAACACACCAAGAATAACTTCCAATTGAGATGCTGATCTTGAAACCTAACAACCCAGCAATTCAATATGAATGGTCAGAAAAATTGTGCCAAAAATATATGAAGTACCAACCTGATCGTAAAAAACTGAGAAATTATAATGTCATCATTTATGTTCCAAGGCGACTCTAATTTAACAGAGTGAAAGTGTCTACACGTTGAACCTAAATATGAAATGGCAAAGAATATGGGCAGTTGTGAGGTTTACTTGTATGTTTTTCTCTCGGGAAGACTTCAAAGATTTTACATGGTATGGAGACGTTGAATAATTAAAAAAAGTCAAATGAAATAGCTGACATCATGCACTGGAGATGCAAAGTATAATATTGAATATATATCCATGTCTGGCTAACACACCAAATCAGAATTTAAAAACACAAGGTTTGCTAAATCATCTGATATATAGCCAAGGAAAAAGTGGACAGAAGTCAAAGAGAATAAAGAATAAAAAATTTGCTTAGATTACCGCATTGCAACAGTTAACAAGAAAACCCCAAATATTACTTATCAACTGAAAGAGCTTGTGATTGAAAATTACAAGTTACAACTATTATTAACAACGGAGCAAATGCCTTTATCAACGTCCATAATGTTGAACTTTTTCTATTTTCTAGTCATTGTTTATCTTGTTGCTGTACAATTCAGGACTCTGTCTAGCAAATCAATAAAGAAAAGGATTCTGCCCCTGACCAACTGACAAAAAGTAAGAGAGGGGGGAATAAGCATTGTGCTCATGAAAGCCAAAAGCTTGCCAGATCCATTATATTGAGGAATGTATTGAGTTAAATCATTTAAAAAGCAACTAACCACAACTCTTTCTCCAACATTTCTTTTTCTTGATTCTTCATAGCCAATATCAGATGTTTTTGAAATGTGATTAGATTGTGATAGCTTTGAAAGGAAACGATTCAGTGCAAAATTTTTCTTCTGCAGATCCACTGCCTCCTCAGCAGATGAAATTATTCCTCCACGTTCATTCTTTAGAACAAAGAGCCTTGCTTCATAATCCTGAATAATAAAATCAATTGTGAGGGTATATCACATGTCTTGTCCATACGAGGAATCAAATCAACAGTCAAACTCAATAGTAAACCTGAAACAATTCATCAAGTTCACACAAAATGCATGGCGGACCATCAGAATGAGGTTGGCAATTTCGACATTTACCCACACGTTCAATGTCCTCTTCTTTTGGTTTGTCCATAGTCTGATCAATTTCCAAAATTCGATCAAATAGCACATTCCTAGAAGCTTCTAATTGATCCAAACTTGTCTGGATTTGATACTTCAGAGAGTGTATGCTCCGGAAACTGAACCAAAAGTGATACTCAGTCAGTGTGTATATAATTAATTTTACAAGATTGTTATTCATCAAAATCTAAGAAAATTTTCATATCTCATTTTGCAAAAACAGATCACTTCTGAATGCCATTTTAAATGGTTAACAGTAAAGTTAAATTCTAATACAGATGGCACTCCAAGATTACAACAGCTTACCATCCTTGACTCAGCGAAGTATATCCTACAACCTCTACTCAACGTACATTGATCAGGCTAATCAGGAGACTAGAATGGTTAAGGAGCATTTTGCAGATTGAAGGACATGAATCTTTCTAGCTAAAAGAAAGACATTTTATTGTTTGGCCAATGCATGAGAAGGGAAAAAAAATAAATCTTTTTCTATATCCCCAAAACCAGAATTCAACTTGGCTTTGAATAAAGCTTGTAGAGGGAGAGGGGCAGAAAGAAAGTACATTTAGTGAAATGGTCATGGAAAGTTGTGATAAAAACTAGAATGATGTTCTCGTTGGAGATGATGCAAGATTAGTACAGGATGAATGAGGATGCCACAACTGCATTGTGGTTTAGCAGTAAAAGCTCGGTGCACAGGATTTGGTGGTCTGGAGGTCATAGGCTTGAGTACCAAGGGAAAAGAGACTTACGCCCACCACTAGCTTGTGACACTAATCCACTATGCCTCAGTTGTGGGCGGCCAATGTATGGTTGGACCACCTCAAGGGAAGGCCAACCTTATTGCTAGGCCCCAGAGGAATTAGCCACACAGCTAGACGTTCCATCATGGATATTGACTAAAATAGTAACACACAGGGATTGCCTCCAAGGCCAATAGCCCCAAAAAGCTTATTTAGTTTAGCAGTCTATATCTCCCTTGCTTTTTATACAGCACAGTAATTATATTTTTTTTTATTCTTTGATACGTCATCTAAGTATTTTGACTTTCTCACTTTTTATTTTTGATTATGCTATTCTCTCTCTTTTTTTCATTTTTCTTTCAAATAAGTCACATTTCCTAAGTTTGTATTTATCACGCTCGTTGCACAGGAAAGAAAATCCAGTAAAAAAGAAAAGTAAAGGTGCATAGTTGGTTTTGAGCTGGGAACACAGCTTGACCTAGGATGTGTTGTGCTCCACAATCCCTCTAGCATTATATTTGAACTTACATGATTAAAGACGGATCCAGATATGCTATTAACGTTCTTTCTGTATTTTCAATGGTTAACGACTTTTATATTGATTTCAGATATTTGATAAAACATAATTTAAAAATGGAGAGATACACATCATTTTAAAACAGCAATGATTAACAGTTATGCAAATCGCAAAGATGAGGCATCACTGACCGAGCAGTAACTCTTGGTGGCTTTGAATTGTTCAAAGTTCCTGCAATTGCTTCTTCAATCTTCCTAAGCAACTCATCGGAAAAATCCTTGTTCTGTTCAGCATGATGAAGTGCTTCTAACCACCAAATTGTGGGCTCATTTGTACTCTCACTATATGCATTGCAGACCTACCAAAAAGATCAAATGATATAAGAGGCACGTAGAAATATCTGCTAAGCATAATAAGCCCATGAATTTTCACCCTGATTATAGAAGTACAATATCATAGAAGACAGCACAGTTTCATTTGGTATAACATGATGTCAATCATATAAATTTGCTTGGCATCAAAAATGAAGCTAGGTACATGGCATATCTTATTCATTCCTTTTCAGCGCAAAGAAAATGAACATACATGCAAAGTATTCAAGTTTCCAAGGAATAATCTGAAGCAACCAGGTTGTACGTGGTCTTGAAATAAAATGCGCCGGCGTTACTTCAAAGCCACAGAATAACCTCATGCAGAGGTGTCAAGTTCTGTGTACCAAGTCATTCGGGTGTAAGGATGAGCAATATACATAGATCTGGTGGATACTTGTGAAATTTACTTGTTTGGGTCAGAGAAGTATGTAAATCACCCTTCTTTAGCCACATAATGTATATTTGTTGATTTATCTATTTCATCATAATGCCATCCAAATAGCATTCTATGGGCTTTGAGAAATATTAATAGTTGTTTGACACATTTTATTCTTTTTTGAATTTTTAATGGGAACATATTTTATGTAATGAGTATCAACTTGAGAAAAGGTCCTTCGTCTTAACCTTTCCAGGAAAAGGGTCCAAGTTTGCATTCAAGGTTAACTATGCATAAGAAAATGTTTAACCACTAAATATTTAACTGGAGATGGAAGATACAGAAACATACACATACCGTACTCATGATCATCCTAGTCAGATGTTAAAAGGAATTTTGCAGAGATTTAAATGACACAGAAAGTGTCTGAATCAGTTTTATTGTATGCTTGGGTATCTGAGCTCCTGGAGCTCCTAGTAGAGCTTTGGCCTTCCACAGGAATATAAATTTAAAAATAATGATTCCAGACACGACTTACCAAAAGTTCAGTCTTAACAAAAATGAATACTGTTCTAAAGTGATTTAAGTAAATAAATATGAATATATGATTAAAAAAGGTCATAGAGATACCTGCAAATACACTTTCTGAAACTCCTGTTGGACTGCAGATAGCTTTGAACTGAACACAGATAAGTATTTATGTTTCAAATCTTCACATTCTGCTTTCAAAAACTGTAAAGAACTTGTAGATGAATCATTAACTTCCTGGTGCCTCTTTAAGTCATTTTCTGAAAAGCTAGGTGTACTGTTCAATGGTTCTCCAGAAGCCATTTTGAAATATATATCATCAGAGTCATTCCCTTTCTTCTTCTTAACAAAAGAACAATCAACCTCTTCAAGAATATGCTTTTTCGTTGACTTAAGTTGTGAAGTTCTAGAGAACTGCCTTCCTTTGCAGGGGAGCTCAAGTGAAATGTTTGTAGTTAGTGGAAGTATTTCGGCCAGATTATAATGAATGTGAATATTTAACAAAGGATCTAGGCGGAAATCTTCAGAATGGTCTTCGGCTAAAGTCAGTGCTTCAATGTACAGCAATGCTGCTTGAGAAAAATCCTTCTGCATTATGCTTATAGCAGCAAGTCCATTTAAAGCAACAACTGACCTCCTGAGAGCTTCCTCACCTTCTATCTTAGTCTTACTTATAAGGACCTACAGAATTAGATACAAATCAATCGATAGGATCATTGTAAAGAGTCTAATATCTTGTCAAAGAGCTCAACAAGTAACAGACCATCAGTATTTCCTCCATGGTCATCGGGGACTGTTGCAGAGAGCGCAACCCAGAGCTTCCAACCTGGGGGTGACAACAAGCCTGACGAAGCTTCAGCAGAGCATTCAATAACTTCCCAGCCTCTGTGTGAGTTATGAAGGAATCAGAAAAATCATCTGAAGAAACAGAACCTGGAAGCAGCATGAAATATTTCAAGATTAATTATGCCCACAGATTCACATTATTTTCAAATATCTTTTATAAAAGATATCATACAGCATAGCATTAGAACCTGGAACACTTCTATTAAGAATGTCATTTCTCAAACTGTCAATAATTTCATGAACATAGTTAACACAAGTTTCATGTTGCCTTTGGTAAAAGTGCACTTCTACTGGTGAGAGAGAGAGCCAAGTGAGGCATTCCTCCTGAGAAGGAAGCTGCAACTCATCTGCAACATGTTCTTTTGAAGAGCGCCACATGACTTGTTTGAACATTTTATGTGTAAATTCCATAGCTCCAATATCTCCCTTCTGCAAAGGTATCAAGCATTAAGCAATATTGTTAGTCAATAACGCTTGCAATGTACAAGCAGAAGGAGTGGGATTCAATTACAATTAGCAAAAAAATTTAAATTAAATATAAATACCTCATAAGGATCCCGAATAACATCAGCCCACCAACGGTAAATATCAAAAGGACTAGCTTTAAGGAATCGTAATAATCCATGCAAGTCGTCAAGCTTTCGCTGAATGGGGGTTCCCGTAATGCACCAATGATACTTTGCATTGAGCCGCAGTGCCATTTCAGTGGCAGCTGCAGCATTACTCTCCACCATTTGAGCCTCATCCAGGCAAATTCTCCACCAGGATATTCTTGTGAGAAGAGTGGGGACAACTGGGTACCTAAATAAAATATTGCTATAATTACAAAAATGCATATATTGAAAAAAGTTTTTTTCTTTCTGATGCCAACAGATGTAATCAGCCAAAATACTAGCAACTAAGCATCATAAATTCTCTTGTACTCTCTCAATGGCAGATCTGTTAAACTAAAAGTGTATTAGGGTATAAATCTTAGTCCATTTACTAATCAATAACAGAAACATTAAATTGGTAATCAGAGAGGAAGCAGAAGATAAGGAAAAACAAGAGATTAGAAAGAAAAAAAATATCAAAGATAAAGGGAAAACAATAATTAAGTAGAATCAGAAAGTGCATAAAATACAAAAGGGAGAAATATGACACAATTTGCAGCAAACCTTTTTTGAAATCTCAAAAAGTGCCGATCACCTTCATGCCTATCATAATCATGAGACAGATCCTCTTTAAGTACATCGTATGTTGTTAATACAATGTCCGCAGAAGCAAGTTCACTGATATTCATCATAGATGTATTGGTGAAAGATGTGTCTCGCACACCTTCATAAATATACGTTTTCAAGGAGCCTGGACGTGTATGACTGAAAAAGGTATCTAATAGTTAATAGAAGTAAAACTTCTTCATTAAAAGAAAATAAAGAATAATGACAATTCACAAATGATATTTAACAATGGAGATATTGCATGTCTAGAAGACAGATAATTTTTGTCCCCAAAAAGTCAATCTGAACGCATAGTTTATAACATGTTCCATCCCTCTTGGCCACTAACCAAATCACAGATCCTACATGACTGAAAGCATGTTGCTCTATACCAAATTACACTAGAAATTAAGATTTACTCAAACATTTTAACAATTGAACATGATATATTTATAGAGAAAACACATTCACCCAAGTCTATCCCATATTGCAACAGCCTTTCTTCATGGTTGCTATTAAGTGAAGGGCTCGGGACACCATGAGGTATGGTAAGCACACAATCATCAAATAAGATGATTAAAGAGCAGATAGGCACCCAAGTGAGTTGGGGAACCCTCTTCTAAAAGCTAACTATTGAGATGGGAGTACCAACCCACTTAAATGCCTGAATAAAGTATCTTATATAACAGGCGTAGGCATCTCATTGGGCCTCATTTGGTAATGGAATGGAATGGAATGAAAATAATGACTTTTTAGATTTAAAAAAAAAAAGTCTTTTATGTCCTTGAATAAAAAAACTAATACAAAACATACAGTTATTGTAAAGTAATGATAACATGGGCGTAATAGAGATTGCATTTTTTGAATTTCATGTAATGAAATTCCATTCCATTTCCATTAAGGTAACCAAACAGGGCCTTAGTCTCCATCAAGAGTAACATTCATAATAGGAGTCACGTATACAATTTATCTTCCTTCTATTCTTTATAAGTGAAAAGCGCTACAGATAAATTTACATGATTATGCAGTTCAACAACAAACCCAACTTGGTTGCGCCTGTGGAATCTAAAACATGGTTTTCTGCTTGCTCCAGCTAATAATTGCTCCTCACAAAAAGTAAATTCTTTAGAATTTTTTATCCTTTGCTGTTACAAGCAATTTATTTTATATTTCATATAATTGTCTAGGCTCTAGTGCTCTTGTTTAATGACATTGCACATTACTTAAATGAACAATTGAACAAGCATTCCGAGAAGAATCCAAGATTCATGATTAAGTAGGAACAAATTATACCGGATAATTTCATCATGCCACTGGGACAAAATAGGAGCTGGACAAACAATAAGAGTGGCACCAGAAGCAATAGGAGATTCAGTAGCTTGTATTAGTTCTGAGCATATTTGGCATACATAATCCCCATCCCTTACAGCTATGGTGGTTTTAAATTTCTTGCTTTCAGATCCCTCTTTTGATTTCAGTGATTTTCCTTTGGGAGAATAACCAACACAATCTGCATGTTGCCAAGCATCACAAATGTCACACTGAACCCATAGACCCTTATATTTGAGACTTTCACTCACAGCTCCACATGTACACTCCACACGATCTCTTTTGAGTCTTTTAAAATTCACCTTATGATCCTCATTAACCTGCACCTTTGAGTCAACAAGAATGTCACTTTCAGATGCTGATCTCTGATGAGCAAAGATGCAAGCAAGTAGTTCAACAGTTTTGCCCAAACCCATTTCATCTGTTGCATAAAAAGAGAAGAGTTTCAGTTGCCTTAAAAAAATGGAAATATGTATCACCCAACAGCTAGCCAGAGTATCACTGCAAACCATCAACAAATTTTACCATTCAAACCTTGTAGGCTTTGATGCCATGAAGAAAGACAAGAGAAATGATGTTGTGATTTCTTAATTCTTCAGAATGGAAGAAGATCTAAATATATACATATAGGAGATTCCACACAACAAGTCTGCCAGTGAATCAATGAATTAAGCAAGCATAAAGGGGACAAATTAAATCTAGGGAAGAGGGAAGAAAAGGAAATTACAGAACTGATTTAAAAAAAAAAAAAAACACGTGCTTCACATAAAACATGGTCAATTAGACCACAAGCAAGAGGATCACATTTGGAATTAAAGAAATAAATGTGGAGATCAGAGTCAAGTTTTAGCAAATAGCAAAGACAGGATTTAAGATCCACCGGCAGCAGCATAAAATCAGAAGGTTAATTTTGATATTGCAGCCCCTAGGTTCCAGATAAATTTGTCGTAAAATAAATTGAATTGAAAACAGTCGAATCATTACAATTGTTGGTAGTGATGGACCATGGAGCAGCCTGCAGAGAATATATAATTCTCCACAAGATCTTTGGTTACCATTTCACCAGAATTTGCATGCTAATTTGTTTAGATATATAAAAAGCATAGAATAATTGACGGGATTTCAGAATCACTGGAAGCAGGATAACATCAGTAGGTTAATGTTGATGTTGCAGCCTCCAAGTTCCGGACGTCATTTATCATGACATAAATTTAATTGGAAGCACTTTGATCATCGAAATTTCTGATTGGAATGGAACACTACTTCAGAGTAGTCTGATTCATTACCACAATAATATCTTGACCACCTTTTATAGTTAAAATCTTACGAAAATTCACATGATTACTAGAGAAAATAACTGACATATGCAGCATAGCTTGGGACATACCTGCAAGAATGCCTCCAACCACACAAGGTGCATGAGTCTCTGGGTACAATGAAATATTTCCACTGAAGCCACATATAAATCAAATTAGCATTCAGGGAGGAAAGAAATGATAAGGCTGTGTAGGCAAACACACTCAAATCACCAAGATTTGAATTATGTGATAAATAGGGTCACAATTATTCTGAAACCAAGTCAAGAAATCATACCTGAATGGATTAAAGAACATTTTAGAGCTCATGTCAATAAAATCCACGGGCACACACAAAGGAGAATGAAAATGACTTCTCTCTCTTTCCCCCTGACCTCCAGCTCTTTTTTTCTCTCTCTCTACCATCCAAAAAGCTGCACGCCTTTGATATGGTCTCAATTCAGGAAGTAAGTCAGGTATGTCTTCCTGAAGCATTGGTTCTGATCTGCTCAAACAAAATCCAAAAAAAAAAAATCATGTGTTAGATTGAAACATGAAAATTAAAGTACTTTGCTCCATCAACATAATTATCATTATTGTTAGTTTGTTGCCATCAAATAAAGATCAAAGCAAAAGAAAATGCTAGACTTACTTTGAAGGCCTAATGGCTTCATAGAAACCTGCTGGGTTAAAGTTCACATGTTTCTGGGTATAGCGAGTATCATCCCTGATCTCAGTCTGTGGATCAACTTCCACTTTCATATAGCAACCCACCCCATATCTAACCTCGGACGTCATAATTTCAGGGCGTAGCCAAGACATGACATTCATCATACTCTTCTTCCATAGTTGTCTGGAACTGTCTAGAAGTGATTCACATGCATCAAAGGCACCCTTTAGTATCTCAACCCTTAATCTAAGGGAGGGCATGTCTTCAGAAAATCTACTCCCAAGAACTGGCCTCAATGTAAGAAATTTCAAACTTGCCAAGTGAATAAGACCAGAGACACCTTCATCAGGTCCATCAAAAACCCCAGATAACAGCACCGTACATGTTTCCCCATGATCCATTACTCTTTTTACAAACTCTAGATGAATATCAGAAGAAGCCAATATAGGCCAATGGCCTAGTTTAATTCGACCAAGGATCTGATTGGCATTAAACACCTGAAATCTTAGAGAATGTTGGAAATCCTGATAAAAGTCATCGGAAAGTTCAAAACCCGAAAAACCTTCTCTCATCTTCAAATCAGTTAGAACAACTTCAGAAATATCAAGGTGTTCGTTTGAGAACCAACCGGACCTATCAACTTCCACAAAGTAGGGATTGTGAACTTCACCAAAATCCTCCCTCGCTTGTCCCCCAGTTTCCAGCACTTTCTGTTTATCCAATTCTGTTGCAACAGTTGCCTGTGTTTCTAGTACTATCCCGCCAGATCGATGGGGTCTACTTTGTTTTCGTCTGCCCATACTTGTCACTACTGGCAGAAGAAAGCAAGATCAACTTATCTCTGTTTTTGTGCGTGAATTAACATGAACCAAAAGAACTTAAATTTGACAAGTTGGACTTCCCGACTCAAATGCCACAAGTGCGAAACCAAAGGGAAAATAGCATATGACAACAACTAGAGCAACATAATCAAACATGAATTAAAACGGTAAGGGGTTGAACGGCAGAAGCACCAAATAAATTCAGCTGGTCAATGAATAAAAATCAACAGACTTGACTGAATTTAACTGAAATGAATCATGGAAAGGGACCGAAAACGTAGAATGGAAGATACAGCGCAATAGTCGGCAAGCAGAAGAACAACTGGCATTCACCTTCTCTTGGGTTCAAGGGTTAATACCCCGATGGATAAGCTCAACCAAAGCAAGAAAATTTCCGGCCTCATTGAAAACTCTCACAAAAATTCAGAAACCAAAACACAAAAGTATTTCGTTCGCGAGTCTTGTGAATTGAGAGGAAAATAATTTTCAATTATGAACCTGAAGATACGAAACTGACTGAACAGAACAGGAACCCAGGAAACGAGCGTGCCGCTGGAGCTCTCGTCTCGCGCGAGTTTGCGAAAATCACCAACAGCTTGGAGAACGTTGCCGAGATGGACAGATGCAATGGTTAGAATTTTTTATTTTTTATATGCAAGCGTAAACGGCACTTTCGAATTTCGATAACTAAATAACAAGGTTTTTTTTTGAGTAAAAAAAATAACAAGTTTTTTTAAAAAAAGAAAAGAGGGGATTGCAACGCACGAATCATGGCCAATATATATTTGCATAAATTGCAAGATAAACACATTTTGAATGTTATTTACAAGTTTTTTGTTTTAAACATTATTTAGATGGTTTATAAATTTTCTCAAAAAAAAACCAGGTGAACTATATAAAATGAATATAATTTTTTATTAATAAATACATTTTAAATATTATTTGCAAATATTGTGTTGTGTACTCTTTCAGATTCCATTTATAAAACACATTCTATAAAATTCATTTAGTTTCATTCATGATTTACGATATAGATTTTTAGGTAATGTTTAAAAATATTTTTAAAATTACCTTTTATGAGAGAGAAAAAATAACATAATATCATTCTTTAAATTTGTTATATACTCCCTCTATTAAAAAATGTAAAATATTTTTTGATAAGTTTGATATTCAAGAATATAAGGTATTTTTAGTATTTTAAAGTGTAATTATTATCTTTTTTTAAAAAATGTTCCTATTAATAATGATTTTATGTTTATTGTGGGATGTTTAATAGGGACAAATATGAAAAGATAGAATTAATTAAAAAGTAAATAACTACTTTATTGGAGAGTAAAATTTAATTAAAAATGCCTCATATTTTTAAATGGACGGAGAATGAGCATATTTAAAATTTTACACACTTTTATTCCTTATATTTTTTTTGCATTAGTATTGATAAAATTGATAGGAATGACTTATAAAAAAAATTAGAAGAACATTTTATAAAAGAGCAATTCTATTGTTTTATCGAAAAACTTAATTGCAATAAAACTTTAGACTTGCAAGACTATTTTAAATGTTATTGGGGTTTAATTATCAACATATTTAATATACATTGAATATGTTAGTTTTGGGCTTACAGTGCAATGTTTTTTTTTATAAAAAATACAAATAAGTTCACAAATTAATAGACATTTTGAATTTGACTTGTTGTAAACTTATGTTAAAGTACAAAGAATAGATTGAAAATTTTTAAATTGTAAATGTTGTGAAAAGACTTGTAAAAAGATTAATTTTGTGATTTATGGTTTAACTAAAATTTTTTACAAGTATTTCTGTCATGCTTACGAATTTATTTTCAAAATTTGCACTAGTTTTTTGAATGAAATAATAAGTCGGATTTAGAGGATTTATCAAGCAATGTAATAAAAAAACGATTTATCAATGATTAATTTTCTTACTTGTGAAGTTACCCGCCATTTTTTTTCAAGTTTTAACCTTAAAATCTCTAACTTTTAAGGATGCATTTGAACTTGGCCCTAATTAGATTTTGCTTTAACCCTATGCCAAGTCCGATCAACACGTCAGGCTAGCTGAATATATAAATGATTAGATCAAATTCAACCTATTTGAAAGTGAAAGAGGACTTACAAGAATATTAAAAAATGAAAAAAAAAATACTTCATCAACATATTAAACATGAACACCACTATTCAAAATACATTCGCTTCTCTAGTCAATTTTAAAATTTAAAGTTATAAATAATTGACATTTATTTTCACATAATAATATTAAACTAATTTACTATTATTTTCAAGTAATAAATTAATCCTCATTCCCTTGAGAGGTTTGCTATGGCTTTAGACGTAAGATATCAATTTATATTATATTTTATATTTAGTATTTCTTCCCCAAATTATCTATACTTTTTCCTGGCCAGGCCCATATCACCTCTATTGATATTTGCAGGCGTTAATGTGTGCCCTCAGTAAAAAATATTGAAATATTTGTAATCATCAATATAAATGATTAAAAATTGTGTGTTTTAAGTAAACTAGCACACAAATTTATAAATGAACGAGTTGACTGAATTTTTTAGGAATTATAACAATTTAAATTCGCGTGAATTAATTATTCAGTTTCTATATTTAAAATTAAACATGTAATTCAATACTAAGAAATAATCCATCTAAACAAATTTAGACCGCACATGTGCATATCATACGTGACATGCGACCCCGTAGTACTTGCATATTAATCATTATTTGTTATTATTGTTATATTATACTCAGGCCTTATTTGGTATGCGAATTAATTTTGATGGGATAGGAATAAGAACAAGAGTGGGGATGAGAATTAAAAATATGTTTGATTTGATATGTCAATGAAATTATGATGTAATCTTTATTTAATATATATAATTATACTATCTAAATAGTATTTTACCCTCAGCCTGGAAAAACGACATGCAACCTGAAAATAAACTATATGCAAAGTGAGTCAATAGTTTGTGGACACTGAGACATCCACAACATTTGGAGATCAGTTTTACACAGGACATCATCCTGTCCAGGTCAGTTAAAGGCTAAAGTGAATCGCATCATGCACACCCGCGAAAGATCCAGAAAAAACGTTGCCATTGCTTTAAACTTTGTGAATCGAATTATATTTTTGTTTAAAATCCACTCTTGAAACAGGAGGAATACAACTGTCTGGAAGTTATTAGCTTTTGAATCAAGCATGGTTTATGTCAAGGGAAGCTTAATATCCAAATAATACATGTTCAGACCCATGGAATAAATCAGAACACCAAAATCAGTGATCAAACCAAAACCGTTTCGAATGGATCTTAATGGACCATTATACTTGCAAAATGGAAATGGTTGCTAGCATGATAAAACCATTTGCAAAGAAAAATCCTCTATTAGGACGAGACAGTAGATGGAAGTCTCTGCCCAATAATCACGAAATCGAAGTATTTATCTAAGTATTTGCCCAGGAATCACGGAATGGAAGTATCAATCAATATCACTCCTCATGCTCCTCCAGCCAAGCCGAGAAAGTAAGTGGCTCCACCCTCAAAAACCTATACCACTGAATTGCCTCGGCTTATTCTTGCGCGTAACCCCGTTCCGGCTAATGAGCCACATGGTCTTTGCTTCTTTCAAATTTTAACCCCCTTTTTTTCAGGGAGAATTTTGGTTAAGGTCTACAAAAGATACTTAATTGTTGATGGGTCTCAAAAAATTTTGAAACTTCAATTCAATTCAAGTGAAAAAATAAAATTAATAACTAATGATTATGTATAACAAGAAAAAAGTATTTTGATCTTTTTATTGTTAAGATTATTTTAATTTTTTTCTTAAACTGAAGTAAAATTTTAAAATTATTTAAAACCATCAATAATTAAGTTTCTTCCATACTCCAAATCCATCTCTCTTCATCTGTATTCTTGTTAGCTTTTTCAATCCTGCACACTTTCTCCGTCTCCCTTCTACTCTCCATTGCTTTGTGTGTCCATCTTTTTTTTTTTTCTATTGCCACCATGACTCCTTGGGCTTTTCCCTGCCACTAATTGTTGATTTCTCGCTCCCTTTGATTTTCCTTGCTTGCAACCCCTGCACTTTCACTCATTGTGAGATACTCCAGCTGTCTCTTTCTCTCTTACTCTCTTCACCCTAACTTCTCTTAAAAAAAATTGATCCAAGTAAGTGGGGGAAGAAAGCGAGAAGATCTAAAGTAGTAGGAGGAATAGTCTAGGTTTTGTCTAAGGGCTGAGAGATGGTAAATATCACTTCCCACTAAGTCAGTTGGTTGGTGGTCAAGTTAGTTGGACTAACCTTTCGGTAACCTTCTTCATTATAATTATTTATATATTGTTATACATATAACAGATACCATGATCATCAAATCTGTAGGCATTATTATAACACTTGTTTGACCTATGACTCTATAAGTTCATTTCTTATCAATCATCAGTGTTTGGTTTCACAAATTTCTATCGTGGTATTATTTGTGCGGGGACTTCATAAATGGTTTTATGTGATTTATGCGTCTCTAGATTTCATATTAAAGGTATTATTCAACTGGTTCATGCATTTAGTACTTATTTCAGGCTATAAAGCTTCAATTTCGAGGGCAAACAAAATGGCTTAGTGCTATTGATGAGTTCATTCATGTCTAGGGGAATGCAAAACCCATACCAAATAGGACATATCTCTTTCTATTGTAGTTTGTTATCTTTATGCTTATGGATTCTAACGCGTGGATAAAAAAATCAACTCTCCTCCTTGGATGCTTTGCTGGTAGTCTGACAACCGTACTAGATTGTGATTTTTTTCCTTTAGCTTAATGCTTCTTTAATTTAGATGATTTAGTCGTTATCTCCTGCTTCAATTGATTAAATAATTGGAATTTCTGGGGTTTATTGGGTTTGCTAGCTGTGAGAATTGATCATTTTAACTTTATTATTAATTTGGATGCAACTAGATAGTACAAGTAAAATGGTTGATGAAAAAATAGAGCTGTGACTTGTGAGGGAATGGATTTTCCACTATGGTATGCTCTGTCCTCCCGTTTTTATTTGATTTTTGTGCCACTAGTAAGGCCATTCAATGCTTATAAAAATTATTTATACTCCTCGTATCTCTTTCATTTCTCTATTACTTGTATGTTCATTTTCTTCCCTAAAATTTAAAAGAACATCAGAAAAGGTTCAATCTTGATGTGAGATACTAACCATTCATCATTTTCGTATTCTTTTCTAGTATTTATTGGGCAAGCAAGCACACATTTTGAATTACAAACTAAACCATAAGCTAACTAAAGAAATCAGAAACAGATCGTTACATGATAATATTGTTCATATCTACTATTTTCATCTTTTACTCAATGATTTTAATCCTGCTTCACAAAAAAGAAAAAGCAACTTGAATATGTTGTCAACATCTAAATAAAACTTTTTTATATATTATCACCTGTATTGATTACTTCCTCTCTCTTTTTTTGCTATGAAAATTCAATGCAAGTTCCTTTTAGTTGAATGTTTTAGAGTTTAGTCCTTTTGAGTGGTTATTTTCTCACAAACTGTGTTTTTCATTTGAAATTATTTTCTCTTAAATTGTTATTACCTGCA